GGCACACAAAAGGGTGGGTGGCCATCACCATGCCCAGGCCGCCTTTGTCTCCCCAGTGGCGATGTTTACACGCCGCACGGTGGATACTGATTTGAGGCTGAGTCGACCTCGGGGAGGCGGGGGACCGGTTCAGATAATCGTCACTGGTGCTGGCCGTGAGCGGGAATCGCACTCTAGCGGCCGGGTTCGTAATGCGCTCACCGCTGTTAAACACGACAAATGTACCACGTGTATCAGTGTGTGGTGAGACGTCAACTACCTCGCTAACCGCTGCATCACAGCGCCACGCGCACACAGACACTGCCAAGACACCCAGTGCTTGAACATAAACATAACTTCCACCGAGAAGATGGATACAAATTGAACAATCATTGGAAGGATGTTAGTCACCAGGTAATGCCTTAACTGGTTGTGGTTTTTTTCCATCCTACCTGCCGCTTACAGGTAGATTCCCCCCCCCCCGTGTCCCACACTCAGCTTCCCACTTCTAGCCCCCCCTCCCCCAGCCTCACGTCCTCTTCCCCTAGCGCTCACGCAGCCCCCTTTCCCTACCCCCCCCTCTCTCCCCCCTTTCTTACCTATATAACCTCTTGCCACGGCAGCTCTCTCGCCAACTTCAGCATTTTCTTGCTGTGGTTGTTCCACCTGATGAAGATTGCTTGTGTCGCGATCGAAACGTGTCGTGATTTGTTTTATTTTATTTCTACCCACGTGACTTTACCGAAAGAACCAAAGAGTATGGATTCCTGCAGTCACGAAAGCTTCAAGTAAAGATGCAAGGAACCGTTTCACCACTAGAACGTAGCTAACAGCAGAATCCCAGTTGTGCTCTAAGGCAGCGGTCCCCCAACCTTTTTAGCACCAGGGACCGGTTTCGTGGAAGACAATTTTTTTCACGGACGGGGGGGGGGGGGTCGTCATTGGGTCTTTCCCCCTTTTCAAAGAAGCTCTCAGGCGATTTTTTTTTACAAATTTTGGCTAGGGGTTAGAGCTTGTGGGCTCACCAAAACTGGCTGAGACGGAAGTGGTCAATAAAATAATGGGGGCGGGCCACGTGCGGACTCACCGCTCTCACCTCGTGCTGCTGTGCGGCCCGGTTCCTAACAGGCCACGGACCGATCCGTGGCCCGGGGGCTGGGGACCCCTGCTCTAAGGGACGAGTTCTTATATTTCACTGGTGGGGGGCAAAGGGCAACTTCTGATCATAAAAACAACAACACGCCTTTGAATTTAAGCGCACATCTGGATGGGGTCTGGGAGATTATATTTGCGGCTTCGACTGGCACATCAACTCGAGGATGCAGCCTTCGGCACGGTGTTTACGTCATACGCGGTACATACTAAATGACTGAATATCTTGTGCCCATGAACGGATCAGTAAGTGACATTTTGGACGCAAGTATACGTGACGTATGGTATGTCCGGGTCTTCCGGATCCAAACGCTGGAAAGGTGTGGAGGACAGTCAGCCAAGGGGTCTCCTGGATCTGGTTTAAAATTTCGGGTGCCTCAGCATCTGCGTTTGGCCCGTTGAAATCAGCAGTGGTTGGCTTTCTGGTGTCATATAGGCAAGGGCCTTCCAAGCTCATCATGGGGCATGTTCTGCAATGTTTATTGTTTCAGGACACATTCATTATTGTGCAGGAGCACCCCCGCCATTCTCCACTGAGTGACCATGACGTCACTTCCGCGCCTGTGCCAGGCCAGGTGCACTTTTGAGGCCCTCCTTCGCCCCGGCATTTCTCCCACTTTAGTAAAAAAAATTCTAGCTGTGATTTCACACCTGATGATGATTGCTTGTGTTGCAATCGAAACGTCGTGATTGAATTTACTTATATTTATTTAATATTTCTATTTTCATTTTATTTTTACCGACGTGACTTTACCGAAAGAACCAAAGAGTATGGATCCTTGCAGTCACGAAAACTTCAAATCGAGAATGCCACATGAAGTGTCCAAGGCTCGCTGGCAGGTCATAAAACAGACCCAAGTGCCATGGGTTGACTTGACTGAGATGACTGGCAGATGCACCAGCTGTGCACCCCCCCCCCCCACACACATATATATATAAATAAATACAAGGTGCAGCCCTGCAATTTCTTGTTCATGCTGTTGCTGGGGAAAGGGTTTCCGCAGGAGGGAGCTTTAGAGCTAGGATATTTTTGACCTCCTCTTCCACGCAGGCCAGACGTCTTGGAAGGGGTTGGAGCACTCACACTTTATCCCACCCCGTGTGACCTGCCAGGCGATTAACCGTGGCGCACAAATTCACGGTGGCGAGATGTGAACGACCTCGCCTTATATTGGGTGTTTGCGTGTCAACCTCGACGTGGTCGCGTGGATTTCTCTCTGGGTCCTCTGGTTTTTTCTCTCCGCATTTATAAATGTGCATTTAGAATATTTTGCTGTTATACAGTGAGGGAAAAAAGTATTTGATCCCCTGCTGATTTTGTACGTTTGCCCACCGACAAAGAAATGATCAGTCTATAATTTTAATGGTAGGTTTATTTGAACAGAGACAGAATAACAACAACATCTAGAAAAACGCATGTCAAAAATGTTATAACTTGATTTGCATTTTAATGAGGGAGATAAGTAACATTTTTGACATGCGTTTTTCTGGATTTTTTGTTATTCTGTCTCTCACTGTTCAAATAAATCTACCATTAAAATTATAGACTGATAATTCGTCAGTGGGCAAACGTACAAATTCAGCAGGGGATCAAATACTTTTTCCCTCACTGTAAATGTCCACATGATAAGCCACTTCGTTGAGCTATCATTTCTGGTCAAGCCGCTTCTGAAAAAGAGCTACATAGCTCAGTGGGACTTACCTGCTAACATAAAAAAAAAGGTTTATCGATTCGTTTAATATTATTGCTGTAATTAAGTTAATTGGCCATTGTTTTTAACTGCCGAGCCGGGATACCGAACCAGTAAGTCCCGTGCGCGAATCGTTTCACCATGGCAGCATGCAGACGTTCCGGCCATGTTGTTCTCAATGGGCCCCAAACTGATCAAACCCACATTTTCCAGGCTGAACCCTGTTTAAACCAGTCCACGGGTTTGCTTGCTTAAATAAAAGCTGCTGGGTAATACTGGTTCAAAAGGCCTTTAGGTAGAGACTAAAAATGTTACTTTACGTTTACGATTTATTATTTTATTTTATTTCTAACTACGTGACTTTACCGAACGAACCAAATAGCATGGATTCCTGCAGTCACGAAAGCTTCAAATCAAGATTGAAACCGATCTCGTTCACCGATGCTAAATGAAAATATAATATATTTTGCACGCCAATGATATTTAGAAAAACTTTTACAGTAAATACCGGCAGTGTCATCGATACTTAGGAAAAGCAAATGGATGTCAAATAAAACTTGCAGCCACCCGCGACAACGACCGGGTTCCCAAGTTCGTCAAGTTCACCGTCTTGGCGCGATCGCAAAGTGACTTCAACCAAAAGAGATCCCATCACTGAATGGGGGCTTTTTACTTCATTTGGCCCAACTCCAGCGGAGGAAGAAACAAGTTCGTGTGCTGCGTGACACAAACACCCATTGCACAGGGCATGCCAACTGTATGTACGTGGAACTTCTTTCGCACCCACCGCGATACGTAGCCAGCCATGCCAATCGGAGGTGCGAAATAACCGGTGTGGGGACAAGAGGGTCATACAGAAGCACAAGTCGCTCTCCAATGCGATAAGCGGAGGCAAGTGGCCGTCCGAACAGGCTGGCCCCGAATATGAAAACGTGGAATTATCACAAACGAATCGGGGGGGGGGGGGGGGGGGCCTCAACAGAGATGACGGCTGTCCCCATTGTTTGAGCAGGGAGACACTTTGACGAACGTTGGAGGGTGAAGTTCGCCACTGAGAATGGGACGTGCTTTTTCGGAAATTCAATGTCTCCGGCTGAATCGAAAAAAGAGAGTCAATGAGTAAATATCCCCATGTGCGTGCCAGCGGATGTTTACGCTCAACAGGTTCAATTGGGCATAGCGACGGGAGCGGGCTGCACGGGCGGAAAACATTCAAGCCCTAATTGTGTTGTGCAGCTATCAGGAATGCGGCACTCACCAAATGATGTTTACGTTTGCCAGTGTTGCACCGTACTGAACTCTTGCAACTAGAACATTTAGCCCGATGTGGCTCTGTCCGCCTGGGTGAGGTGGACCGTGTACAGATGGAAGTCGTGATGGACTTCACCCAACCTACACAGCAAGGAGACGGCCAGTATGTGACGGTAGAGCAAGTAGGTTGAGGACTCGTCAGCACTAGGGTTGAGTGTTATCACCCAAACGCAGCTATTTTGTCTGGTACAGCACTGTACTTGGTTTGGTCCTGTGAAAAAACTAGCCCTTGCTATGGGAATGTGTAATTTCAAGGACTCCTGACCACCAATATTAACTATACTAAACTAATTTTTATTTTACCAAGGCCCACGGAGATAAAGCTCTTTTTTAGAAGCGACCTGGCCACAAATGATAGCTTAATGAAGTGGCTTATCACGCAGACATTTATAGCAGCCAAATATTCTAAACGCACGTTTCGAGATGAGTGCCACCCCAGTGTACCAATATATTAATTTCAAACTTGTTTTAATCTGATGTCGTGACCAAGACTATTATAACAGTTGAGAAAACAAAATCTAAGCGACTGGCGCCCACTCAAAAATGAGCTTCGCCCAATATTTTGCAAAATGGGATGGGTGCTTAATTCAACTGGTAATCCAGAGGAAGTGATGGAAATTCCACAATTCTATGGCAGGCACTGTTTATATTTTGCAAAGTGGTTAACTCGTGTTATTGACCTCCAAAAGAATGAAGGGCTGAGTCTATCCCCAATAAGGGTTTGAATGTGTAATCTATTACGAGCAGCGCTCTCTTTAAATCACTGTGACACCAAACTGGGTTGGACGCAGAGGCATCAACACAAGTAAAAACAAAACCACCCGACATCATTTCAATCCGAAACAAAGATCGAGTCCACAAAAAAGGTCCAAATGAAACCACAATGTTTATTATCCTCTTTCAGAGTTTACTGTACTCCAATCAATACCTAGTTCGAGAAAGCACACGTAAAAAAAACACATTTCTGGTACTCAGCGAAGCATTAATTACAGCGTTTTTTTATTTGTATTTTTTTTTACTTTTAATTACACCGCGACGTAGTAACGGTAAATTGTCTCTCACACTGCCGCACCGAAAGTCACCGTGTGGAGAGGAAAGCGGTGTGTGAAGAGGGGGGGGGGGGGAAATCGGTAACAGCGCGGCGTTCTCGAACGATCTCTCCCGCGCCACACACCGCCCTGCCGCTGCTCGCGGAAGCCTACAAGACACAGGCTTGGGGGGTGGTGGGAACGCAATTCGGAGAACGCAACGACAAATCAAAACCAAATCCATTTCAAAGGGAAAACAAAACTGGCTCGGGTCACAATGGAACAAGAACAACAACCCAAACGTGCCCCCAAAAGAAAGCCAATGTGTGCAATCCCGAAGACAGGAACAAGTTACTGTCCAGTAAATCGCCCTCGCCCGATTTAAAGATTTGTGGGAACGAATTTTTGGGATAGGCGCGCGGGGGTGGACGCACGTTCTGCACGTCTCCAGGCGGCCTCTTGTTTATGCAATTCATTTTTCTACTTCCGACTGGGCCACTGCAGTGAAATTGCTCTACTCGCAAGTGGTGATTTCTAATCGTCTGAGCTTAACGTGGACCATTATCTGGGGTTGTTCAAACGAGTGCCACTTTGAGAACGGTGGTTGTGGACCTTGCCATAGGAATGTGTAATTGCCTCTGTTGCCTTGGTAACCAACGGAGGTCAGTGTCGCTGCAAAATTAATTTGACCTGGATGATTGATCAACGAAACATTGAAAGTTTCTGCGAAAAAGTAAAAACGAAAATATCTACTTGTTGATGATTACACAAGCTCCTGCTGTAAATGTCTCCTCCAAAAACTTGATGTGCTGTCTCAATGGGTGAACGAACTGTGGGTGTGCAATTGACAGATATTTGACTCGGTGGGGTAAACATTAAACCCTGTGGATTGTTAATTAAGTTGTAAGCAATTTTAGAGTAAGAGCGTGCAGCAATTAACCTAGCACCGTACACAGTAGTGTAATTCTCACTCCACCCAAAGTTGACCCCACGTGCCCATCCCTCGGCAGGCCAGCCAAATTTGGGTCATGGGTCTTAATGGCAAATTCAATGGACCTCTAGCAACGCGGTTCACATCCAGTTTGGGTTGACCGCGACCAGCAGGGCTGACGTGGTAAACCTGGGAACAAGGACAGCGAAGAGGTCAGAACCATCTTCGCCCCCCCTTGCCTTCTCTGGTTCGAGCACATGCAGTCTGGCCGAGTGGCGGGGTCAGTGAGTGCTCGACTCGGCCCATCAGGTTTTGCCAGGTCGAATCGCGCGGGTTGAGAGCGCAAGCACCGCCGAAGAAAATCCAACATGGCAACAGCGGTCGTCCTATAAAGACGCTGGCCACTGCCAGAGGGAAGGTGAACTCTCCACCACGGGGCCCACCACCACTACCATCAAAGAACGAGGTGGTTTTGCCTCTACGCTCGCACTTTATGCGCCCCGCTGGCAGTATGGAGTCCAATTGGAGACTGAAAACGCAATGTGTTTACCGGCGATCAGAGGGTGTTTTGAAGCAAAGCATGAAAGCATTGAGAGAAAAAAAAACTGCTCTCAGAAAAGGCAAGAACTGAGCCACGGACATTTAAAACCTGCTGTAAACTCGGTGCGGAAGGCAAGGGGCGTGCCACACGGGGACGGTCCGTGGAACGGGGGTGGACTGGTTCATTCCTACAGTTACCACAATCCAGTCACGCGGCTGGATTTCCAGCACTGTGGCGATACCGGCACGTGCTCTGCGATTCCCAGAAGTGCCATGAAATATAATGAAAGTTAAAGTGCCGCTCAGCTCAAACAAAAAAATGGGAGTGAGACTCAACTTCACTGGAGGTTCCGGCTTAGGGCCACCAATGAATGGGAGAGATGTGTGTCACACAATGCTCGTTTGAGCAGGGAGACCCGACGCTCGACTTTTCACCGCAGTTCCCGGCCCCCAGTGGCATGTGGCATTATTTTGCAGCACCGCCGGGTAATGCAACTGACGCACCGAACGGCCCGACTCGACAGCTTGAATGGGAAGCTGGCCACGAGTGCCCCGTAAAAGCTCTCATCGTGACGCTTGACAACAAAACCCATGAGGCCCATGCAGTTTCGTGAAATGAATTAACAAGAGCACCAGCCCATATAGTGTCCAGTAAATCAACACTGAAGAAATGTCAACACCCACCCCCCCCCACCAGCACCCTTTAGGGATAACATAAAGAATAAATGTAATTACAACCAGGCCACCTAAGCTCACGTTTGCACCCAAACAGGGAATTTGTGCAAAGCAATAAAAACGAAAATAACAGAAATCGCAGCAGTGAAAAAACCCAGTAATATGGTTTAAATAACTTGCTTTGGAACACTCATCAGATTGGATTTCATATAATAGACATATGCTGTATTACACTTTTGACGTGCAGACGTGTTGTGCGGTACTCAAACGCTCACAACTTAAGTATCCTATAGGACAACCAAAAAAAGGTACGAGGTGTAAATAAATTTCGGTAATCGCACTGCTTTTAGAAAGGCTGGTAAATTAATGAACAAGCAGGAAGCCCCAACCAAGAACGAAAGGGGAGAGCTCGCTCCAATGGAAACCATGCTGAAGCGTTCATTTCAATTGCAGTGCTAGGAGGAGAAAATTAAGTCATTGCAATCCCTACTATTTTGGTTCACTCCACACATTATCATGATGCTTTTATTCCTCGACGCTTCTAAAGGTCAACCAACAGATTTTCCTATTCCCGTCCCGACGAAGATGCTCGCCCTCCACTGAGAGAACATGAGTGAGCGGAGGCTTGTGCACGCACACACACACACACACATTTCACAAATGTCATAACAGCAATACACCAGCAGTATCATAAAACACGTCTCAAACTGTTGCACATTATATTATATACGTTCATACATACACACACATGCACACACATACCCATATTATAAAAATGGATGTGTGGGTGTGTGTATATATATGACTTTCAAATAAGGATTTTCAGTATATCTAATTATTTTACATTTAAAATGGTATCTGGCTTGGTGGTGGCACTGTTGTAATGCCCAAACTAGCAATATGAAGATTTTGCTGAAATCTTAATTGAAAATATTAATTCAGCTCATCCCTCCCAAGACCAATAACATTACCTCTTAGTGGGAGGCCAAGCGGTTGCCCAAAGGCAAGATTGGCCGGTGTGACGGGCACACGGAGTTTTTTTCCTGCAAAAGTTGACGCTATGTATTTAACGACGGGACAGGCTCAACAACTTGTAAATGAGGAACAGTTCACGGAAAAAAAACAGTATTGTAGATGCCATCAGAAATAGGGTAGGAGAGGGTGCAGGATTGAAGGCAGGCTTAGCCGCGAGAGTGGCTGGTAATCCAGGACAATTCTGAAGCCAGACGTTGGTAATAAGACAGGAGACCCTGGAGCTCAGGTGTGTAGGTAGAGTCTTGGCAGTACAAGGGAAAAAGTGAGGTGGAATCTAAAGTCATGGACAAGACTAAATATTAATGTGTGTATAATCTAAATATTAGTTTCCTATTGCATCTAAGGGACGCTTTTATAATAGAGCACAAACTGTGTGTACAAGGTCTCTGCAAAGGGCTCTCACCACGTGCACGTTGATTGACCGATGAGATGAAGGATTTGGGAGCATGAGGATGCACACTTCATTTGCATCCGGAGGACTGTTTCCCTCATACTTTTGAAGCACATTTTTACTCCTTCAGAAAGCTGTTTTAATTTAGGATAGCTCTGCTATTAAAGGCCTCCATTCAGCACCCAGTTTAACAACCTCACGATTGGCCGTTCGAGGGCCACATGATCAGGGGTTCCCTCAAATTGCTTTGGCAGACCACGTGAAACAATTGCAGTTTTTTTACCATGGCAATATGTATTTAAATAAAGAGTATTTTGTAATAAACGATGTCTCGTTGCGTTTAAAAACTGCTGTGGAGTAGAGATGTGCACCTCCGGAAGAAAACATTCTGAAATTCAAGATATCATAAAAAACTAGCCCCAAAGCTTCGCGATGTTTTTAGTACAAGCATGTGAAGCGAAGCCACTAAAAAAGCATTTCTGAGTAGAATGTATTTCATATTTTTTTACGCGTAAAGGCCTTCACTTCGAACAGGACGTGGTTGTGCATTCACATGCAACTGAGCCTCATGTCATAATTTCCTAGGGCTCGGCTTCATAAGCTGGTATCGCCACCCCCCCTGGACAGAAGTTTACATCAAAACGTTCAACAAAGCGTCGCCGTTAATAAAGCAAATGTCACTCCAGGCTGCGTCGTCTTACACTTGTGGCCTCACTGCTTTATTTGTTTTGTTGCAAAAAAAAACCAAGACACACACCGAAACAATATACAGGAACTCATTCTTGCGTCGCGTGCCACATGCGGCGAACACGATTCCGGTTTGATTCGAAAAACGAGTCGTGACACAGCAGTTGGACCGGGACCCAAACTCAACCAACAGGAGAGAGAGAGACAGGGGGGGGGGGGGGTGGTGCTTCCTATTGACCTCTGGCCGCCTCTTGATTATTGGGCGAGGGGTTGATGGCTAAGAATCTTCATGTGGATTGCAGGGTAAAAGCACAACAGCTGCGGCGCTGTCACAGCAAACTCACGGCGGTGTGCACGCTGTTATCAGTCAAAATTTAAACCAGCAACGGAGAAAGAAATAACGTAAAAAAAAGATATCACGAATTGGAAAGAAAGCATTTGACTAAAAGCAAAAGCGGCATTCCATGAGTAACATGAATAGTTTTTTTTACAGTATATCGAATAATATTTTTCGACCCCCATGACTTGCCACTGTTGCCGCTTCAGTCCTGTTTTTTAATTAGGCTGAGCATGCGAGAGACAGCGCCCTGCGATGCCCAGTGTACATTGGTTATGGGGTGGGCGAGGGTCGGACTGCAAGTAGCCAATGTTAAAGTTACTGGTCAGCGAACAGTGAGCGAGCTGGGCTTGTTACAATACAGCAATCGTAACGTCGAGACTGAAAAAGAAATCTACTGTGAAGCTTTACACCGTTAATTCAGTTGTCATTCGGATGTCAGGTTAAGATTTTCTTTATATAACTTTCTAGGGATCAAAGGATGCGGTGCGCGTCCCAATTTGGAAGCTCTCAAGCCATGCTGTCCGAGTACATTGTTGTAAATCACGAGCAATTTTATTGTTTCGTTAAACTAGTCATCATACCAGTTAATAGACGTCTATGCTGTTGCATGGGCAAGCAATTGTTACAATTATGGTTCTCAGCTTCGCCTCAAGCTTGTAATACTAATAAGAGATGTGCAGCAATAGTGATAGCGCTGGATTTTAATAGAGCTGTAAATATCAGAAGGTAATGTAGTTCATTTCTTCCCACGTGTCACGGACAACGCGCTCTGGGGGTCCCCACTGCAAGGGCTGCCGCATGCGTGAAGGCAATCGAAATCGGGGGAGGACGTCACTACCATCATACACCGGGTTGGGCCAGGGCAATTGAAGTAACAACAACATTTGTGGTTACCCCAAGCTTCAGAGCTATGAATGACTACAGCAATTAAGCTATAGACTCTACACCAAGCCTGTAGCCAAGGCCTGATCTAATGTGCGCACGCATGTGCACGCGCACACACACACACCACACACCATCACACATTCGCACAAATGTACCCCACCCGCTCGCACTTACACGTCAAGCCTTGCAGGCTGCCCCACGCAAGCAACCCACACATACTCGCACGCCAATAACACGCAACGACAACACCCCAACCCTTTATCACTTGCCCTCGTCTGACTTGATCGCTTGGGGTTTGATGGGCCCGGTGCGCACTGGTTTCCCAATGGCTGCCTGTGGCGACGGCGTCTGGCCCAGCGGCGTTGTCGTCGTCGTCTGGGCAGGCATCGGCGTCGTGATCAGAGTCGGCTCGGATTCGACCGCCGCGCGCTCCGGTGGGGCCTCCGTCACCTCGGGTTTGGTTGTTGTTGTTGACGTTTTGTGCTGCTGTTGTTGTTGTTGTTGCTGCTGCTGGGGTGGTGGCGGTTGCTGCTGCTGCTGCTGGGGTGGTGGCGGTTGCTGCTGCTGCTGTTTTTGTTGCGGCACCTGCGGATGGTGTACGACCGATTGCTGTCCGGAGAAGAAGAGCTGCGTGGATTGCAGAACCTCGGCCCTCTGTCTCGCCTGTTTGGCACAGCCGCACAGATACATAACAAAGGTCACCTTTCCACCTTCCCTCTCGGAGCAAGCGCTGTTAGCGGGTACTGATTTAGGCTGGATCTCCTCACTTCAGTCAGTGTCCCCCCCCCGCCCGACACAGAGGGGCTCACCTTTTCCATACCCAAGGACAAACCAGGTTTGGATCCATCCTCACCTTGATCTGGTCGGTGACGCGGGGTAAGGGCGCTCCGTGCGTGACGCCGGGGCGCACGCTCGCCGGGCCCCCCAGCGAGGCTGCGGGTGGTTGCCCCCCCCCCACGGCTGGGCCCAGTGATGGGGGTGGGGCTCCCCCCCCACTGCTTCGGCCCCCACCCTGTCCCTGGGGACACAGCAGCGGTGTTTCAGCGAACGCGAGCGTGTACGCGCACGCGGAGGCGTACGTGCGCGCACGCGGAGGCGTACGTGCGCGCACGCGGAGGCGTACGTGCGCGCACGCGGAGGCGTACGTGCGCGCACGCGTGTATCAAGGGCGCGCATGGGTCAACGCAACAGTGAAAAAAAAGACCCTGTGTGCAATGCAACTCAGTGTTGGTACAGTTGTAGCAGTGGACTTAACAACGGGAGCATGTGTGTGCACAAAGCAGTAACATGCAACTCTGTATCAGCTACACATTAACATAGCCGCGTGTCTGCATGTGTAGCAGTAATGTGCGAGCGTAGCACTTAACACAAAGGGTGCAAACAGTTAATAGAATATATTTAACACTTTGAAAACTTCCACTTGCCATGAGTTTGCCTTAACACAAAACGCACTGACACCAGGCTGACTAGAGGCGTTGAACACGTGATCTCTATATTGTAACCTGGGGAGGGTGGTGGCGATTGGAGGGGGGCCAGTGGGGGGCATGGGAACCTGTGGGGGCCCAGCCAAACCAAAGAGTTTTAAAGCCACTGCTGGAGGAAGAAACCAGCGTGTTCATGCCAATATTGAGCAGCACCCAATGTAAGATTTAGCACCGAGTCACATTGACCGTTTATGTTTTGTATTGGTCTAAGAAGCACGTGCAATCGTTTGTCATCAATTTCAAGCACATTCGTGAGATGAAGAGGCAATTCAACTGCCACAAACGTGCATTCAGCCCAAGGAACCAGTGACAATACACGGCAAAATGTCTGTAGAATAACCCAAGCACCCACGAATGTGGTGGGACGCTGTGTGGCGTGCCATTACCTGGGCGCTCACGGGACGCTGGGACATTGGAGGGGCGGCGGCGGCGACGACAACGACGCCGGCCGCCTGCGTGCCGGACGTGGCGGCCACGTTAACCGGGGCCGCGGCCGGTGGGGCTGCCTGGGTGGGAGCCGGCACGGTGTAGCGCTGAATGGGCGTCACCGGGGAGAACGGCGATGCAGAGGTGCTCAGGGATGACACTGGCGGGGGTCGGGGCGCCTGTGGAGGGAAGCGAACATGAAGGTCCTGCGCTCACACCCAGATTCGCCGCAAGGACTCATTGCACTGTTACTGTGTCGGCACCGCAGTGGCGAGACGTTAACTACCTCCAGCCTGGTATACAGGAGGTTGTGGATAGGCTGCAGGCTGATTTTATAGTCCATGTCATTATAATTTCCATGTCATTATTTATTTATGCCCCGTAATGCATATACAGTAATCCCTCGCTGAACACATTTTTGCTGAATACGGCACTTTTCAGGAACGCGTCGACCACGCTAAAACTAGGAATGACTGTACTTAATTTTCAGCGCGCAAGCAGAAAATCTAATTAGAATTGTTTGGCATGCACAAGTTAATGTACGGAGTCTTTGTCTCTTCTTCAGTGCTAATGTACACATACCGATTAACAAGACTTCCTGCAGACTTCAGGGCAATGCTGAAAGCACCTACTAAGAAAGTCACGGCACATCAAGCGGTGGTGACAAGCACCACTCGCGGTGGTGACCTTTGTCTCCCCACAGTTCTGTTGTGGACACCCTGCAATAGGTGCTCGTTTAAGTCTAAGACGACCTGAAGGTGGTCCAGAACCGGTTCAGACATCACTTGCCGTTTATGTAAATTGTGAAAGAAAATCAAATTCAGATTCTTCAGTTTGTAAGTGTGCTAACCACTGCACTATCACGGATTAAGACACTCACCAACGCTCACTTGTACATATACAACAACCGCCATTCGCCACGAAGTGGCGGTGACGTTACCACGACGCTTGTGCCAGGCTATGTGCACGTTGAGGCGACATGAAGTGTTGAACGCCCGCTGGCAGGAGGTCACGGGGCAGACCCAGGTGCCACGGGTCGACTGACTGAGATGACTGGCTGATGCACCACCTGTGCCCCCTACTGTGCCAACTTGCTGTGATTTAGCCACCCGGCGCAAAGCTCGTTGTTGTGAGCGTCCCTCCTCCGCCCTCCGTTGTTGGAGGACGACTGCCTCCAACTGCCCAGCAGCGTCCTTCACGAGCCTCCTCCACAGAAACCGATCTTGACACCGCTGGTACCAGTCATCGGCAAGTCCACTTAGCTCCACATCCTCCTGTACCACATCACTTCATCTCTTCTCTAGCCCGTGCTGCGTCCGTTTAGCCCCCTCGATCCGGCCGAACAAAGCTCTTTTGGCATGCGGTGATTGGGCATGCGGGCTACATGGCCCAGCCAACGCAGCCTTGCCTGCCGGAGGAGCTCACCGATGGGACTTTGTCCAGATCTTTCGAGGATTTGTGAGCTCCTCACACAATCCAGCCTGGTTAAACCCAGGATTGATCGTAGGCAGGCCAGCCTAAATGTTTCTAACCGTCAAAGATGTTCCATTAGGGGGGTCCACGTTTTGCAAGCATAGAGAAGGGAGGGAATGACTGTGGCCGAGAAGACCCGAAGCTTCGTGCAGAGCGACAGACCAGGTAGTTTCCACACAGCGTTACGCAACCGATGAAAAGATAGTGCCACTCGGCTGATTCGGAGTGAGACCTCTGCTGTTAAACCGGAGCCGGTCATGAGCATACTGCCCAGGTATGGGAAACTCTCCACTCTCTCCACAACTGCCCCATCACCGATTGGGAGTTGTGAGGGTGGAGTACCCGATGGTAAAATATACCCAGGCAGGTGCTTCGTTTTGGTGAGTCTGATGGTAAGGCCCCACCACCTCTTAGTGGCATACTCCAGGTTCAGCAGCAGCGCCTCCAACTCCTCCTCTGAGTGAGTCGCAATTACGAGATCATCGGCATACATAACGTGGTTGACCAATAGGCAGCCACTCCTTGACCGCACCCGGGCATCGATCAGCCTCCCATTGTATCTGTACCACACACACAACTTCACACACGCACTAAGACACCCAGAAGCCCACACACGTGCTCACCTGGTGCTGGTAGACCTGTGTGAAAGGTTGGCCCACACGGGTGGATTGTGGGGGGCCTCCCCCAGTTTTGCCGACCCCTGAACCTTTAGTCGAGGAACTCCCGGCCAAACCGGGACTGATAGAACCCGGCCTGAACCACACGCACATACACATCAGTGAAAACACACGCAACGTTATTACACAATCATGCGAAACTAAACTAATAAAAAACAAATATTTTACCAGGTAAGGACCACTGAGCTGCATTGCTTTTTTTCATGAGCGACTTAGCCACAAATGATACCTCAACGAAGTGGCTTATCGTGTGGTCATTTATAGCAGCAAAATAATCTCAAAGCAGGTTTCTAAATGCTTAGGAAAAACCAGAGTCCCAGGAGAAAAATCCACGGGGCCATTGGGACAGCATGCAAACTCCAAACCTACCGGCGTCAGCGTTGGGATCGAACCCACGACCTCCTGTATAACAGACGAGGCAGTTAACATCTCGCCACCGTGGTGCCCCTATATAGTGGTGTTCGGTGCTGTACACTGCAAAACCTTGTATGCTACATTGTACCATTATCAATGGGTGTGCGTGCCGTGAATGGGATGGTGTGCTGCATCATGCCTGTTGGCAAGGTGTGCACTCGACATGGTGTGTTGTGTAGCATGGTGCGAGCTGTACATGGTGTGGCATGTGGTGCCGAAAGCTTTATGAGGTTCTCAGTGCTATATGTGGTGCGGTGTGCTGTATGCGGCGTGGTAAAACATTTATGCGAGGGGTGGTCGATATCTGTATGGCATGTGGTGTGCGCTGTATGTGATGTGGTACTCGCTATATTCCCGCTCAATGCCAACAGAAGTGGCGAATATCTGAAAGGGGGCAGGGCCTCCCCTAGGTCGACTCAGCCTTTAACAAGTACCTGGTTTTGGTTTGGAAACAACAGCATTGGGGAGCCAAAGGTATTTGCAAACATCCGCCTCATGAGCCGTGCAAGCCTTAATGTGCTCACGAACAGCACTTGCCCCAACAGTCTGGTAAAGGCTATACAGGGGATCTTTGTGTTCGTTTCTGTTGCTTTGTGTCACAGCGCGAGCCAAGCTACCTGAAGGGGCTCGTAGCCGGGGTGTTGCCGTGCGGAGTTTGCGGAGGAGTGTGATGTTTCACCTCTCCGGCCATGCCATAATCCGACACCTGGAAAATCTGGTTATGGGGTGGGTGTGCAAACAAACCATCGGGTTAATAAATGCTTCCCTCCAGGCCAACCGGCTTATGCTCAAACGATTTATTGTAATGGCACCGCAGTGTTACACTGGTGACATCAACACACGAGTGAACGTCATGAGGGTTTTGCTGGAAACTGCTAACATGGCAGTGTGCATGAGCAGAAGAACGATTGCATTGCATAACAGAGAGAGGGCGACGGCTTTGGGAGGATTTAATTTCCTTATTATTATGCTCGTTTACCCAGGAAAGCCTCGGTATCTTTACAGCAGTGGTAAAATGATTGTGATAGATTACAATTATTCTAATTTGGACCATGACGCCGTCAACACCATGGTCTACTTTTGCGAATAGCGTCACGGGATTTTTAACCATTTACTCTTTTTATTTTAGCAGGTAAGGCTGACTGAGCTACACAGCTGTTTTTCAGAAGTGATAGCTCAACGAAGTGGCTCATCATGTGGAAATTTATAGCATCCAAATACTCTTAAATGCATGCTTCTAAATGTGGAGGGGAAAAACCGGAGGACTCTGAGAAACATCAATGCAACCACGGGGAGAACACGCAAACTCCAAATATACAGGCGTGAGAGTCGGGATCGAACCCACGACCTCCTGTATACCAGGCGAGGTAGTTAACATTTCGCCACCATGAAGCACATGGTGTGGTGACAGTTATGTTTATATTCTTGGTTCTTTCGGTGAAGTCACGAAAGAACCAAGAATATGAATCCCAGCAGTCCTTTAAATCAAAATTGTTATGTTAATTACAACCAACTGCATTAATATTGAGGGCGGCCGCTGTAATCGTGCCGTGTACTTCCACAGCAAGCGGCGAACGCGCTGCCACTGGGGCACGTCACTGCCCACAAGACCGCGGCTGATGACATCGACGACGGTTCACAGGCGTGTGCGCGGCTTGCCTTGTGCTGGCTGGGCGTGTAGCGTGGGACCTGGTTGGAGATGGCTCGCGGCGCCGCATGCGCGAGGACACCTCTATTCTGCGGAACCGCCATCGATGGCTGCGACATCCTGCGAGACACAAACCAGTCCTCAATGAGAGCGATGTGGCGGCAACAGCAGCAACAGCCGAGCGTCCGAAAGGTGCGCGTAGGTTCCGTGGCTGGATCGGCCGAGAATAATGGCCCACGCTGGTTATAACAGGGAAACATCCTGTTAAAGCAGGATTAATGATCATCGTTTATTACCCCCCTGAGTTATGCCTGCACACCCACTACCAGAGTAGTTCCATAATATTTGTCTCGTCTTCTCAGTCAGGTGTGCCATGAGAGTGCTCGAACAATATCATTGCAGCGGCTTGTTAAAATGTACGCGGGTGCTACAACGATTGAACTTGAGTGTAACGCTCAAAGTCTTTTGTCCTCGCGAGTGAAGTTTTAAATCTGGGTCTGGAAGCCAGAACAGGGAGCTTTGGATGCACACACATGACAGCGTTATTCTGGATTGTGCCATCCAAATTGTGCCCTCCCCCTCCAAAAGCCTTCTCTCCACAGGTTCCATGCAGCCCTGTGGGAAGACGCTAAATTAAACTGTGGAATGGTGGTACTCACGTGGCAAAACAGCTATCGCCTAAGGATGTGCAATCTTCAACCGACAACACCATTAATTAAAATGGGCCATACGACGTATGTTGAACTTCTTTCGCACCGTACATAGCCAACCATGCAAATCGGAGGTACAGGGAAAGGATCACAAACTAAATACAAAAAGCAGTTCTCAACAAATTGACTTTTCAATCAAGATGAGTTTTCAATACATTTGTATTGGACGACAGAGCAAAGTCTCTGTGAACGAAACACAGGCGGGCGCTCATTCCTCGCACACAGCCCTTACCCCTGGAGGGCGATGAGCGTCTGCTGGGTGCCTCCGTATCCCTGCATGGGCAGCCCCATGTGCTGCAGGGTGGCTGCCGGCGACTGCGAGGTGGCGTAGAAGCCACTCTGCTGGGGCTGGGAGTACACGCCGAGCTGGCCCATGCCCTGTCGTGCCTGGGGGGAGCCCGCATACACACACACACGTGCACGCACACGCGTACGTGCACGCACACGCGTACGTGCACGCACACGCGTACGTGCACGCGCACACACGGACACACACGGACACACGCGCACACACGGACACACGCGCACACACGCGCACACACGTACATGCGTACGTGCACACACACGGACACACGCGCACACACGTACACACGCGCACACACGGACACACGCGCACACACACACAATCACCCCCCAATGAGCTGTAGAGATTGCCCGGACAAGTGGTGTGAGTCAGCACCTATGAATGGTCGAGTGTGGGGCTGCTTTAGTCTGTGGTGCTGATGTTCACCACATGCACAAACACGCGACAAACCACCAAACAGACTAAATTGGCATGCACGACACTACACATTCGCGCGCACGCTCCGACCACCCCGCATTCAACGAGAGATACACACGCACGCCAGGCCCTGCATCGCAGACAGACAGGCACCTGCATGAGGTGACTCGAGTCCATCATTGGCGTCTGCTCATAGATGAAGGCGGGCAGAGGCTGGTGCGGCGGTGGTGGCGGTGCAGGCTGGGGGGCCGCCTGGCTGTACTGTTTGCCCATGTCTGACGCGAAGCCTCCCCCGTACAGGGGTTTTGGGGGGTTGCCGGCCGACAGCACCAGCGCCGACGGCTGCGTCAGGCTTGGCTGCAGGAAGGCCTGGCCGGACCTGCGCACGAAACGGGAATCGCTAGTTAAACATCAACCGAGGGAACGGCACGAGTGAAGTCACAATCAGCGGAGGTGTACATCTGTTAGGTTAAGAGGTATTTTTTTGCGTCGCGTCTTTCTTTAAACGTCGGCAGCCTTCACGCAACCAAGCCGAGCGCACATTTCCAGCGACACCCGGCAACAAAGCACGGCCACGCTCACCGGAACAGCTGCAGAGACGGCCCAAACATTTCAGGCCCCTGCGGCGGTGCAGGCTGGCTCACAGCCTGCTGCTGGCCCAGCTGCTGCGAGTACAGCGAGAAGGGCATCTGGGGCTGGTGGTGCATGGCCTGGGGTGGGCCGGGAGGGGGCCCAGGTGGAGCCGCCCCACCGCCCGGCCCGCCCTGGTAGGCCTGGCCCTGCTGCATGGCTGGGGGGCCGCCCCCAACGCGTGCCTGCTGCATCGGGAACAGGTGCGACGTGTCCACGTGGTAGTACGTCGGGAACTGTCCGGTGGGGGCTGCAAGAGGAAAGGCGAAAGTCAAACAAAAGGCCCAGGTCACGTCGACAAAAATGTCCAATAGAGCCGAGCGGCACCAAGTGCGGAGCATTGGGGTTAGAATTGGAAGGTACTAAGGTTAAGCACCAGCTAGGTCAACTTAGCCCATCATCTTCCCTCTGATGTTAAACCAAAGTACCACTATGGGAAATCAATGGTGGTCATCCTATATTGAGACTGGTCCCCATTATGGGAATGTGGATTTTTATACCGCTGACAGCTCATGTCCACTAAATGAAGAGGAGTGCTGTACCAACGCTTATTTCAGCAGGACGACTTTCGAATCTTGTTAACAGAAGCAATCGGTACTTTAAAACATCATGCACGGGAGAATATGTTTGGATACTTCGAACACCTCATGCAATGAGTTAAAGATTACTTTCCACATCATCCTCTCAACACTGGCCACTCACCTGGTCCTGGCTGAGAAAGGTACAGCTGCTGTTGCTGCTGGTGCATCATGGACGGCGCACAGCTCAGCTGGGACAACTGCGAAAGCTGTGATATCTGGGTGAGCTGCGGCATGAGGGACAGCTGGCTGGCAGCCTGTTGAGCTTGCTGTTGGTGCTGTTGTTGCTGCTGCTGCTGTTGTTGCTGCTGTTGCTGCTGCTGTTGTTGCTGCTGCTGCTGTTGTTGCTGCTGCTGCTGGAGCTGCTGTTGTGGCTTCACCTTGCAGATGTTGCTGGCGTGCTCAGAGGTCATCAGGTTGGGTTTGGCCGCGAGCGAAGACGCGGATGAGGATGACACCACCACCCCGTGGTAGCTCACTGCGGGCACACGGGAACACGTTTTGGTCAAACTGGAAGCCAAATTTCTCCGTAAGGTACATCTAAGGTAAGACCGGCCAAGGCACAGGAGGGAATGGTGGTGGCCAGCATCACGCATAGCCACCATCTTCAAATCAACCAATGCTGATGATCACATTCGACGTGACCTCACCAAGTGCCCAGGACAGGTTCAGGTAGTAATGATGTTATCCGTGGCCGAACATTTATCCCAAGTCACGCGGGCGTTCACACATGTGCCACATATTATACCGTACGAATTACGTCAGTCCACACACAAACGAAGCAGAGTAAAACAATCAAAAGTTTTAACTGCGTGGGCAAACCGTGCTACCGTTCGGCTTCCGTCAACCATTCTGGTGACGGCACAAGAGGCTCTGGTGCGTGCTCCCGACGGACCCGTCGTGGAAACGCTGGCGACCTCAGTGCAACCCACCGGGTATGGAAGAGACACCGGCGTCGGCCATCGACATGGTGCCCACGTAGCCGCCGTATGCAGCAGGCCCCATGCTGTCCCGGGGCGAGACGAGGGGCCCCACGGGCCCGCCGGGCCCTGGTGCCGCCACGACGTTGACCGCCACGGTGCTGGCCGCGGTGGGGGGTGGCGGGGGGGGCCCCGCCGGTGGGAGCACCGGCGCCGGCTCGCCGCCACCGCCCAGGCGCGGAGAGTTTTCCCACGCCTTCCGTGCCGACTCCATCTGCGAGCGGACGCAACGGTTCGTGTCGACGCTTGGGTCAGTGTGGAACGTGCCGCCGGTAAAAAAATAATAATATGCGCCGCCGATGTGGTGGCACGCGCCCGTGATCCCGCACTGTGGAAGGCAGGCACGGTGCATCATGCAGACATCATCGTGTACTATAAGACATGCTGGGCTGAGACGTGGCCAGATGATAAAAGCGCAGCAAAGTAGGTCTGGAATAATCACAATAAGCAACTAGATTCATTTCCAACTTCTGAAAAGAAACTGGCCAAACATCTTCTTTCAGAATCTACCTAAATGAATCTGTCGGCTCACCAAGACATTCCAGGATAAATATGGGGCATAACCATTGCTACTCAAACCAACCAACCAAACCCACCCAAACTAACCCACACAACACGAACCCACCCACCCACACAAACCTTCCTCTGCACCTCCGATTAGTATGATCGACTACATACGGTGCGAAAAAAGTTCAACGTACATAGGCACATTGCCACAAATACACTGGCTCTAAATACCTTGTGGGTGCCACTGACTTTTACTGGAAGTTCATCATGCCTTTATTAACTAGTCAATGATGGCCTCTCTACTTTTACGGGTCGGTGCTTGGCAAGAGCACTTGCCCCTTAGGTTTAGCATGCGAAATGGAGGCTCTGCACCTTAGATCTCTGTACGTGTGCTCTTGCGTACAAGTGCGAGCGTGCAAGCCTGTGCGAGTCTGTGCTGACCTTTAGCGTGAGGTCAGCTGCAGACAGAGCCCCAGGAATGATGCTGCTGTTACTGCTGCTGCGTGGGACAGTTCGTGGGATGGGCACCTGCAAAGGAAAAAAACACAGAGGCAGCAATGCGAATGAGCTGACCACTCCCAACACACACACACACTTGAGTCGCATGATTATTGGGCAAGCTCCCCCACACACAGATGAACAGAAGAGCACATTCACATGACTGAGATTTCCCCAAAGATCCAGGGTCCTTTGAATATCAAATTAAAGAAGCAATGACTTTTAGTTTTTTTCATCTTCAAGGTGCACACCTAGACTGAGTCGTGCGCTGTCTGACATGAGTTTGAACAATTTGTGAACGCCAAAAAGAAATTCGAATTATGGTTAAGTCCATCATTTTCGCACCTCGGTGACATCACTCGAGCACTATGGTGTAGCCATTTGTGATGTTAAAAGTTTGTTTTAACGGATTAATAATGCATCCAAATCGTATAAAACAGCAAGGAACGCATAGCTCGTGTTCCTTCATACAAAATAACATGTGTCTTTTGGAATGCATCTTACAAGTCGGTGACTTCTTAAGATTATTTCTTTAAAGTGACCAATTCCACATCTATCCCGGTGTGGCAGGAGTGCTCAACACACATTCACAAAAAGTCGTGAGTTAATATAATAGTTGGGGGATTCAAACACACACATCGAGTGGCATTAACCTCTGTTGGAAGTGCCAAGTCAGTGGTGAAGATCTTACATTTCTGTCGTGGGGGAAGAGGGAGGGGAGAGTCAATCTATGCATTGCACAACTAATACAGACGACTTCTTATGAAAAACTTCCCCTAATGCAAAGTCCAGCACCCGAACCGCCTCGACACCCAGCCCCTGTCACGGTGCACAAAGAAGGTCGCGTGGTGACATTTGGGCAGATTTATCTGCGTGCGACGGGAGGCTCACAGTAGACACGAGCGATGTGTCCAGTGCGGTGGGGTCATGGGCCGGCAGGGGTTCCGTCGATACAGCAGTCGACGTGTACACATTCACGGTTTCCTGTAAACGGAGACACAGATACACAGAGCGGCGACAATAGGGATACGTTGATCAATTGTGATACCCTGGCCTTTGACAACATCACCTGGAATTCTTCCGGGTCTCCCATTAGAAGCTAAGCAAGTTTGAGTCTGGATAACATTTTAATGGGGGGCCAAGTTGCGGGGGGGACTACTTTGAGCACGAGATGGCAGTTCAGCAATATCTGTGGTGCGCTGTACATCACATTCACCAACCCACCCTGACCAGTATGATGAAGTATGGCAAAAACCCACACTACTCATACAGTGTGGCAAGGCCTTCCTTCAGCAGTGGATTGATATAAAGGTTGTACACACACACACACAAGCAAACACTGATAACTTGGGCAACAATTCTAAATCAGAAGTGTCTGGCAATGGGCTGTACATTTTTATCTACATTTCTAGCTGTGACCGAAGGTCACGATGAATACAAGCGCCACCCCCTGAGGAAGGAGACAAGAGGACTTGATATGCCCATTACCTTAATGGCAGCGTGGCCATGCTGCCGACGCTCCTCCGATGAACACGGTGGCTGGCTGGGAACAAACTCAGGTGCTTCAACCCCGGTCAGCGCGACGCTCACAGTCTCCGCTCCGACGGCGACCGGGCTTATCTTGCCACCCAGCACCACTCCTCCACTACCGGCGACACCGTTGTTGCCAACACCGGTGGTGCTGCCACCACCTCCAACTGCTGCTGCTGCTGCTGCTGCTGCAAAGACACGCATAGCGCAGCCTGCGTCACGCCCCAATAACGAAAGCCTTGGCTGCAGTGACTCGCAGGAAACGTGATCGCACTGCTGCCCGCTTGCGCCGTGTGGCCTCAGCTATGTTTTGCTTTGAGAGACAATCAGAGAAAGACACGACTTTGGTGGTTGCCGCCTTAATTTGGTGGAGTTAGTCTCACTGAAGTGCCACGAGTCCCCGGTATGAAGATACCTGATTCCAAGAACACAGGATGAGATGTTACTATCCTTTGTGCAAGCACTTCCAAGATTTCATGAACAATGAGCCTGGTGAAATTTGGGGAGCGCATCGTCAGTAGTGAACCTTTGGTTCCTAGGGTGTTTCGGCCTTTCATACTATACACCCTCCCCAAAGGTGGCCAGCGACAGGGTGATCAATCCTACGCTTGCGTCCCATTCCCAATTAGTCATAGGAATTGCCTTGTTGTTTATATTGAGGACGTTAACAATGGACAGATCCCCTCTCCGATGTGGTTTGCGGTTCTCCGTTTGTTTTTTCACATGATGTCCAAAGCCAGTTCAGTTCAGGAGGAAGCTCTGAGAGCATGTGGAGTGAAACGTCAGACATCGCGCTGAACAAGGTGCAACACAACCCGCAAATACATCAGACACCTGTACAGCACAACCACTAAAAATGCAGTCGTAATGAACGGATTAACCTCTCCGCTAAGTGTATTGAACCTTCAGTGTGTGCGGTGTATGTGTGTGTGGCGTACGTGTGTGTGTGAGATCGCGCCTGATCGCGCATGTAGCCTCACCCGTCGGGGTGTCATCCCTCCTCTGCCTCAGCGAGCGCTCCTTCCCCACGGGGCCTGGCGTAGGATCAGCACGATCGCTTGCAGTCTCCCGAACCTATAAGAAACGCACGCACCACACACAGGATTCATGTGTCAACCTGGTACATACGAGTGCAAAGGACACTCGATCGATGACCACAGATGTGTAGGGGGATGGGGACACGAGACCTACAATGGAAGCGTGCACACACACAAATATACAACGCTGTCATACGAAAGAACACTCACATGGGACATAAACATACATGTACAGCAATTGTGCACGAGTAAAACAGATGTGCGCACAAGCACATGGGACACACATACACCAGCAGGAGGCACGCACACACAAGCACATGGGACACACATACACCAGCAGGAGGCACGCACACACAAGCACACGACGTGTTTAAAATGCACGTTTTCAGTGTAACCCTGTCCATACATTGTCTGCTGAACAAGAGGCACGGCGTATGAGAAAGAACCGGGACACTATGTAGGCGGTAGGCATTATTGGCAGGGATGGCCTGCCTACTGAGACTCTCAGCTTAAGAATCAGAATATTTATTTATACTGGAGGAATATGATGAGCGAAAAGTTCTTAATCACAGATGTCCAGTATGATAATTGTTTTTTTAACCCTTTTATTTGGAAACAAAACTGACACCTTTTTTACAAGGAGTCATGTTTGCATAGACCACAATACCTGCAGTCGGAATGCCAAAAGGCGCATCTGGTCCAACACCATGTGAGACTAGGCTCTAAGGAAAGCTGTCTCAGGTGTGGACGAATCAACTTCAAGGACAGTGCATACATTATCAAAGTTATGTGTTTTTTTTGCATTCCGCCTGCAGGTATTGTGGTCTATGCAAACATGACTCCTTGCAAAAAAGTTGTCAGTTTTGTTGCCAGATAAAATGGTAAAAAAAACAATTATCATATTTTTCTACTGGCAAATGAGGTTCCAAAGATGTCCAGTAGTTCACAGATAAGACTCGGCTCCAGCTCAGTGCAGCTATGGCTTTGTGCCGGACCTGCACATAATGCGGACGGCAAACCCCTGGGCTCCGTACCGGCTCGCGCTGGGCCCGCGACGACCGCGCTCTCTGCTCCTTGGGCTCGGCTCCTGCGGCACCTCCTCCGACTGCCTCCACACCGCCCGGAGGCACCTCCGCGTGGGCGTGCCCAGCGATGTGGCTCGAGCTTACGCTGGGGGGGGGCGCAGAGCCCGACACCAGGTGAGTGGAGCCCACGACTTGGTACGCAGAGCTGGGAGCGTGAGCGGAGCCCGACGGAGTTTGCTGGGCGGAGCTTGGGGCGAGCAGGGCGGAGGAGGTTGTGACGGCCTGGTGGGCGGGGCCAGGGACCTGGTGGGCGGGGCCAGGGACCTGGTGGGCGGGGCCAGGGACCTGGTGGGCGGGGCCAGGGACCTGCTGGGTAGGGGTCTGCTGGATGGCGGGGCTAGAGACCACCACGGCATCCTCCCGCGCGGGTTCCGTGCCTCCCTCTGCCTTGCCTGGGGCCAGCTGCGGGAAATTCACACGGGCACAAAAGACCGTCAACTCTTGCACACGAAGGCAGTAATGTAAGGAAGTTTAAAAAATTCAGTTTGTGCAGAATTTGATTGTTTCCTCCAATATCCGTGTTTCCCTGGCCAATATATGGGTTTTTTCCCACATTCAAAACAATGAAAATACCAGTTGGCCAGATATCCCGAGCAGAACCACTTGCCACAACAATCTGTTGAAGGCTACAGGGTGGGATCTTTACCTTATCCACGCGTGCGAGTGCATACACGTGTGTGTGTGTGTCCGTGCGCGCACGTGCGTACGTGTCTTCACGTCCATGATCGCGGGTGTGAGCGAGCGTGCTATGCGTGTCGCCCCACAGTGCGAGTGGGGGAGGCTCACCTCCGTGGAGCCGGCTCGTGCTGTCAGGGGCTTGTTCCACGCATTCACAGGAGGCGGCACGGGCGCTGCCATCAGAGGCCCAACTGCATGCGCACGCAGAGAGAGGACACAAAGTTAAAGCGCAGACACGAAAAACACGAAGACACAAAAGCACAATCTAAGTCACAGCCCAACACATAAGATATGTATCAAGACACAGAAAAAGATCCCCCCGTGTAGACTTAAAAGACTGTTGGGGAAAGTGCTGTTCGCGAGCAGCAGCTATGGCACACGAGGGGGTCAGTGGCCAGCACCACGTCTGGCAGTCTTATAGTCTCCCCAGTGCTGATGTTTACACATCACATCAGGTACTCATTTAAGGCCAGTTTACTTATTTGCAACCCATTGTTAATTCCATTACACAGTATTGTAGCAGAAACTTGGGATTCATCAGACAATAAATAAAGCTACGACTGCAGTTGACCTGACACAGATGTATTTCCAACACTCGAAATAACATCATTTTTTTTACGTGACTTAACCGAAAGAATGTGACTTTACCGAAAGAACCAAGAAGATAACATTTGTTTCCAACTATGATGTGCTTCTGGTAATTATCAACTCAAGAATTCTGAAACATAGCTTTATTATGATTCAGCAGAATTATCCAACTACATGAGCCCACACTCTACCAGGTTGAAGAGGGGCTAAACGTTCACCTGAACGTTTATGTTTCAAAGCATAATGGAATAAGACGAACGCTCTGTGAAAATCCAACTGTTTTACAATTAACGTAACATGCCTTCCAATGAGAATTACAATCGATGAGGATATTTCCCATAATCCTATCCTATTTGAGCATTTTTTTACATGCTTTTATTTAACTTACTTCGTCTGTTGTCGTATCCTCATAAAATCTTGTAACTCACTTTTAACCAACTTCTCAATGTGCTATCGACTGCAAACTTGGTATACTTATGTCATACTGATGACAAGACTATATTCAATCATAAAAAATACAAAATATATATTTTTAAACATTCAACACGCTTTTATTTAACTCTGTCTGTTGTCGTATCCTCAAATCGTGTAACTCAATTTCAACCACCTTCCCAATGTCGTATCGACTGCAAACTTGGTATAGGTATGTCATACTGATGACAATAATATATTCTATCATTAAAATATATATTTTTAAACAATCTTTTTTACGGCTCTAATTGTCCACGCTCAACTCACGTTGGCTGTAAATCACCACGGTCCCTTATGTCACGGCAAGCCTCGGGGAGCCACGCCGAGGGGCGGGGGATGTGGAAGGAGGGGCGATGGGGGAAGGGGGCAAGGGGGAGGGGCAGCTCGGACAGTACATTTCAATAAAGCGTGTTAAAAAAAAAGTATTTTTAAATATTTTATTTCACCTCCTCCCACCCCAACAAACCTCTCTTGCCAACGTCTGCCTGCGCTCCATTGCTGGGAACAGCCACAGCTGCTCCAGCATCACTCGCTCCGTTCATTCCAAACTCTTGCACTTTGCCCTGCTGCTGTTGAGGTTGTGACTGCTGCTGCTGCTGCTGCTGACTTGGCTGCTGTTGACCAAGTTGCTGCAGGTTTGGTTGTTGTGGGGGGGCTGGGAGCTGCTGCTGTTGCTGTTGTTGCAGCTGAATTCCCAACAGCTGGGCTGGCTGCTGCCCTTGCTGTTGCTGTGCAGCCTGCTGCTGCTGCGTCTGCTGCTGTTGCTTTTTAGCCAGGCGAGGAGGCAGCTTATTGCTGTTGCGATTTTTTTCCTTCTCGGGGCGGCCCTTGGTCGCCACCTGCTGTGTGAACAGAGGGCAGGGATCAGACATCATGATCGTCGGCGTCATTGACATCAACAAACCAGCGAACTGTGTGAAAGGAAAAAGTGCAACTTTTTCCGTGTCGGTCCCCGAAAATGTCGTTCGGTTGCATAATTCTAATTGAGGTGCCCAGAGAAGTTTACAGGAAGGCAAATAGGTGGTAATCATGTCTGTTGTAGGTTGAGTGCCATCATGCCCTCATACACGGGTTTTTTTACAAGGCACCCTTTTCTGGTTTCCTCCCACGTACAGTAAGGATTTAGCTCACCATCGCAAGTGGAACCCACCATTATGGTTAAGATTGAGGCAGAGCACAAACTAGCATTTTCCCCCACAATAACATCCTAATTGTTCTATCAGATTCCTAACACGAGACATATCTCTATTTGGAACTTTCCCATTGTGTGAGATAACGGCCCAAGTTAGTGATATAGCAGACTGACTTCTGAAATCTCTTCAATTCGCCTCTTATCCACACACGGTGAAGCACCTAATGATATGCCTTCAAAGAGTGTTCATCGAATGGGCAGAGAAATAAATGTCCTTGGCCTCGCGGGTCGAATACACCAAGTTATTTTAACACCGAGGCTTTCACATCCAATATTATCCATGAGGTTTTCTTACAGGAGGATCTTTCCACACAATCCTGGCTGTCACCTGATGGCGCTGGTTGTAATGAACGGTGAAACATCACTCGAATTATTTTGTTAATGTGACAAACCTTACTAATTGCCTGCGTCGAGTGGTGGCGGGTTTAACGACACATTTATATTTACGCGATCTAACCCAAAAAAACTCGTATGGACGCCAGTACAATTGAACATGCTGGCTTCTTTGTGCAGTCAGATGCCGACACAAGTACCTGCTTCAATTTTATCTGCAGATGGCGCTGCACGGCAGAGAAAACTTGCAATCAGGGTAAGGGCAAAACGTGTGCCCTTGTTATTAATAACGGGCGGCTGGAACCTGGACTGATCCGAATATTTCAGCGGTGCCATCTTAGGTGATCTGACGTGGCCGTAAGCGCCCTTACTTAGCCAGCAGGCCAACGCAAACGATCCAAAACGTCAAGCAGAAATGCGTAACAATCACTGAGTGATTGTTACGCTTTTCCCTTACTACGTGAGGAGTGGGGCAGTGCACCCAACCACCCTCCCCCGTGGGCACCTGGCGTCAGGGTTTGTCGTCTGCCGAATATCTGTACCCCCCCTCCTCTCCCCGTCACTCGCGCTTTGTACCGGGCTCTCGTTTAATAAAAAAAAGGTTCTAAAAAAAATGTGTTGGGGATAAGAGGAGTGGCAGACACGAGGCAAGGGGGGCTGGGGGGCAAGTCATGCCGTATGGCGTAGTGGCATGCTCTACCGGTGCGATGGGCTCCTCCTTCTTGTCCTGGAGACGCTTCTGTCGCTTGGACAGCACCTGAGTGAAGCCGGCGCCCGCGCTCTGTGGGTCCTCCGCCTCCTCCATGCTCAGCAGGGGGTGATCGTCGATGATCACCACGCCTGCGGGCACGCACACACGCACACAACAGGCAGGTGTGAACGCGCACACACACACATCAACCATCATAGACCGTCCAAGAAAATGCTGTTTGCAAGCATCTATCAAGGAATGCATGCTACACAAGGAGGGTTGTGTGGCCAGCACCACTCCCAGCTGCATTTGTCTTTCGGTCAAGTACTTATTGAATGGTTTCCCGTTCCGACACGTCTGCAAGTTGCAGGGTGGGTCCCCGTTCACCGCTGAATCTCGGAACGCGTAAGCAGTTGGCCTCTCTAAATAAAATTTCCATTCCGATGACGTACACGTAGGTCATCGGAACCGGAACGGGTTAAGAGCCGAGTGCTCTAACCGAGAACGCCATCCAGCAAGTTTCCACCGGGAGCCTCGCAGCTATGAGCGCGCCTCGCCCACCGCGACACTCACTGGCGTAGTTGTTGAGGTCGAACTGTGAGATGGCGTCCGCCTTCTCCTTGGCCTTCTTGGCCTCCGACTCCTGCCTCTTGGCCTGAGCCTGTTGGGGGTCTGGGGGGGGCTCCGATGGGGGACCGCCGCCGCCACCCCCTGCGGCGCTGGCGATGCGCTCTGGCACTCTGCACACACGCGACCAACAAGAAACCCGAGAAGAAAGGGGTCTTCCCCCGTTCATTCTCAAAAGGAGGGTATGTGCCTTCTGGCGAGCACAATGCCAAAAGCAATCCCAAAACTGCTTCAACTACCTTTCATGTTACCAGGGTAAGGCCCACGGAGCTATTTCTCTTTTTCAGGAGTGAACTGGCCACCAATGATAGCTCAATTAAGCAGATTATCGCGTGGAAATGCATAGCAGTAGCTAAATACCCTAAATGCATGTTCATTGTAAATGTGGAGGGAAAAAAAAGTGGAGGACCCATAAAAAAATCGACACGACCATGGGGAGAATATGCAAACTCCAAATATACAGGCGTCAGGGTCGGGATCGAACCCATTACCTCCTGTATACTAGGCGAGGTGGTTAGCGTCTTGTCACCGTGGCGTCCAAAAGGGGAGGAGATACACACCAATAATGCTCATGCGGAACTGTGTGCATTTGTCGTGGTGTTTGCTTAAGCTCATATGAATCGGAATCAGAATATTTATTTATACTGGAGGATTCGGTTGCGCTATAAAGCTCTTCTTCACAGATGTCCAGTCGAGGCGGGTCAAAATATTACAACGATACAAAAACAAGATAGGATTGAAAAGTATAGGAAATGAAAACAAATAACTTTAACAAAACATACAACTAAAACTAAGCTATGTTTTAGCTTAGCAAGTAAAGCCCACTGAGCTATTAGCTTTTTTTTCAGAGGAGACCCGCCATCACGAATGATAGTGCATTTACGTGGAAATGTAAAGCAGCAAAAAAATTTAAATAAAACGTTGCACAGAGAAGACCTGATGCAGGTCGTGGTGAGAATGCAACTGGTACTATTTGGACACATGTGCAGGATGGACAACAGAGGAAAAGTTGTACTGTGTTCTGAATGGAAGGAACTGGAAAGCGAGGAAGATGCAACAGATAATGGTTTGACAACGACATAAGAGATTGGTGCCAAAAAGATATGCACTACTTGAGCATATAAGCACAAGACAAAGCAAAGTAAAAACAAATGACGAAATTACCATGAATCGTGACGATGAGGATGATGAATCGTGTCGGCTCAGCGGTGGGGGGGCAGTGATGTCGCCATGACAACTCGCATGGAAGTACACGGGGGAGTGGGTGTGTGCCCGGGGGAGCAGTAGTGTAGCGGTTAGCGTGCTGCACTACAAACCTGGCGACCCGGGCTTGATTCCCGCTCACGGCAAACACCAGGGACGATTATCTGAACCGGTCCTGGGCCTCCCCTAGGTCGACTCAGCCTCAAATTAGTACCTGGTGCGGTGTGTAAACATTGCCACTAGGGAGACAAAGGCGGTCGGACGTGGTGCTGGCCACCCACCCCTTCGTGTGCAGTGCCGGCCTTCATAGGTGCTCGTTAACAGCACTTGCCCCTACAGTCTGTTAAGGCTATACGGGGATCTTTGTCTTTTATCTTTGTCTTGGTGTGTAGCGTTGTCAGCTGGCCACGTACCCCTTCTTGGCTCGGTGTGCCACCGCGCTCACCCGGTCCCCCCTCCCGCCCCCCGCCAGCCGTCGGTTTGGCCTCTCCCGCTCTCCTCCCCGAGGGCCACCCCCCAGTGCCCGGCGAGATGAACCCTGGGCAGGGCCGCCGGGAGGGGGAGCGGCCCCGCGACCGCCACCGCCGCCCCCACCTGCTCCTCCCCCGCCGCCACCGCCACCGGTTACTCCTCCACTGCCTCCGCCACCACCACTGCCATCACCACTCGAGGAGTCTGGACCCCTATGGGAGTGGGCGGTTGGAGAGCGGGTGAAGGGAAAAGCAGAGAACAGCAGTAAGAGTGAAACAATTGTGCAAGACCTAGTGGACGCTGCCATGGAGACTGTGTCCTGCCAAAGCAATGTGGAATTTCCATCCCTTACGTATGGCTCCAAAAGGAGATGATCAATGCTCCATGGTTATTTGAGGCCATTTGGTACATCTTTGTTGAAGTGACAAAAGGTATTTAATGGGGGAGTTCCAGCAATACAATCACCCGAGCTGAAATGGCAAGGTCTACACTTGAAGATGATTCTAGATTTGAAGTTTTCGTGACTGCAAGGATCCATACTCTTGGTTCTTTCGGTAAAGTCACGTAGGTAAAATAATAATAAATAAATCACGTTTCGATTACAACACAATCGAAACGTCGTGATTTAATTGATAATTTTTTATCTTTTATTTTCTTTACCTTCGTGACTTTACCGAAAGAACCAAGCGTACTTGAAGATGAGTGTAACCCCCAGGTGTCTGAAATCCGCTTTAAAAAGGGCGCCCCCCATTGGCAAGATGTTATCTGCCTCACGTAGGATATAGGTCGTGGGTTTAATCCAAACCCTGTCGCCACCTACATTTTTTTCCGGTTTTTCCCTCCACATTTAGAAACACGCGTTTAAGAGTATTTGCCTGCGAAAAATTTCCAATGGTAAACCACTTTGCTGAGCTATCATTTGTGGCCAGGTCGCTTCTGAAAAAGAGCTATAGCTCAGTGGGCCACACCTCGTGAAATAAAATGTAAATAAACCCTAGATACCCAAGTGATACCATCTCAGATCTCAGTGCTGACGCATATACCGCGAGCCCACCGATCCAACCGAACACGTGGCACTCCATTGTACCTGGGGTGCATGTCTCGAGTGCGGATCTTGCGCTCTCTCTCTGTGAAGTCGCTGCTCTCTGAAGCCGTCTCCCACTCCTCGTTCGCAAGGTCGGACGGTTCGGGGGAGCGGGCTCCCCCACCTGGATGCACACACGCAGACACGGGAGGAAACAGAGGCACACACATGTACCCAGACGCATACAAACGTAGACATAGGTCTTCTGTGCAGGCGTGAAGACTGCAGGGGAAAAAGTGCTTTTAGTGTGTGCCTGTTAAGGCCGACATGACACAGGAGGAAGTGTGGTCAACACCACGCCGCATTGGCCTCGTCTCCCCACCGCTTGTGTTCGCTGACAGTAAGAGATATCATGCAGGTTTTCTGGGTTATATCGCATAAGTATAGAATGTTTCGGTAAACCGACCACCATCCGACACAGCCAATTAGTAAGGTTTGTCACGTAAATAGAACATGCCAATTCGTTATTGGTACAGCACACCGGTGTGTTGGAGAGCAAATCCATAACATTTACAATCTGAGTACCGGGTACTCGTTTAAAAGCAGTCAACCTAAGAGAGGCCCAATAATGGTTTAGATTTCACGTGCCACTGAAGCTGACAATGAGCAGAATCCAAACAAGTGTTCAGGATGTCAGTGCGCTGTGCTTAACACTTGCACCAACAACCGCCATTCGCCACTAAGTGGCGGTGACGTCACCACGCCGTTTGTTCCAGGCTGTGTGCACGTAAAGGCTACGTGAAGTGTCGAACGCTTGCTGGCAGGTCACGGGACAGACTCAGGTGCCATAGGTCACCTGACTGAGATGACTGGCTGATGCACCACCTGTGCCCCCTTGCTGTGTTTTAGCCGCCCGGCGCTCTGCTCCACCACGCTCCACACACGCAAACGTGCATTTTCTGCGCCTTCAATGACTATGAACACCATGTGGCGTGCACTTTGATAGTAATGCACAGGAGGAATTATTGGGAAACTGTGGTGGAAATTCAACTCTTGACTTTCAAAATTATCATTGTAGTGAGCACATTCCACAATGGGATAAGCAGTGATGCATCATTACCGTGATACCATCACAAACCACAAACAAATGCAATTATGGCACACAGAAGCCAACTGATTTTTTAAATTGCCTTCAATAGAATTACAATTTAGATTTTATAAACTCTGAATGCTATTGTGCCCCAGTACACGTTTCAGCAAGAAACTAGTGATGAGTTTGAACACAGGCTGAATAGGGTCCATGTTGGCTGGGTAGCGATGTGGCTTAGAGTGTTCGACTCACAAATCGGAAGATCAAGTTACAATCTCAGTCAGGGGTCATGTCAGCCCTTCATCCCTCTGGGGCTGTGGTAAGTTCGTAGTGGGTGTAATATTAAGAGTGGTTTCCACCAATGAAATCTGGGTTTTTTTCCCTACATTTTGTTTCACGACTGCCAGCATTGATTAGGATCGCCAAATGTGCCATGTAGATAAGGAATCAAACACGTTCCCAGAATCGAAGGAAAAACTAAAATAAAATAACTTCACCGTAACATCTTCAAGTCAGAAAACAGAGGCTCCCACAAGACCATGTGGGAGGGCGTGGCAGTTTGGCGCCAGCTATCATTGTGCGGTCGTGACACTACAGTTCTCTGCAGTAAGCACAATGTCCTTAAAAACAGCGGCGCTTCTGAGTCTCTAAATCAAATTAACGCTAACCGATTGCGAGTTCTGCGATTCAAAGGTGAACGGGACCCACCCTGCAACTTGCAGACGTCTCTGAAAGGGAAAGGGTTAAGTGTATTCTGAACAATACCGTATAATGAAATACGATTTTATAACCACAAAAGCTGTTCAAGTGAGTTTAGAGAAAAGTAGGACAGAAGTAGAACTATAAAATGAAAATATGACGAGATTGGTGGCCGATGGATACTACAAAGAGCATTGAGCCAATTGTCCAAACAACTCTGTGTCATATCTGCACACTTCGAATGTATCCAAAGCACCAAAATGTACATTCACGATCCAAAACTATCACAGAGTGCTCCTAAGAACTGCAGGAAAATGGATGAAGTAAATATTTTTTTCGTGTGTGGTTTCATTCTTCTCCTTCGGTCGTCCACGTTCCCCAAAGTCACCACCAAACACAAGGTCACGCGACTTCCACAACCTGGCATCTTCTGGGTCTCTTCCAAAGCTGCACATGTACCTCCGGGACTGACGTCTTAAACGAGGGTTTCCAAAAGTGTTTACAATGCAACGCCGTTTTCTTCGCTGCCGAGCCAGTGAGCTTGCTCCTGTGTGGGGTGTTGAAATGCCTTCCAAATGTTTCGGCGCTAGAGAAAGCCATTATTATCACCATTAATTAAATTAACCATATTTATGTGTGTGGCGTTTCACTTACTGTTGTCGGAACACACGTCCTTGTTTCTTTAGGTCCTGTTGAGTTATCTTAAATTCAATGGCACATTCATTCTGTGGCCGTCTGCAATGCTCTTCCTTCCGATATTACGAAGACACTGGAGCGCTGTGCAGTTTTAAATCATCTAGATTGAAAACTCATTTCTTTAGAACTGCTTTTTCTATTTAGCTGGTCCTTCTCCTGCACCTCCGATTAGCACGGTTGGCTACGTACGGTGCAAAGTTCAACATAAGCTACATATTCATAAAATGTTTGTTACCGCTCCCAACATACGTTATCGGTGTGTTCTTTCTTAGCCTTTTACCAATTAAATTCACAATATATAATTGTCCAATAAGTTCATGCACTGCCAGTTCTTGTCCTTAGATCTTCGAAACCACCGGCATCCTCAGCTGTAATGCTCCCAATGCATTTTACCTCCTGGCCTCATTGTCACGTGCTGCATCGTTAGTCTGACGACAATATTGACGAACCTCTTAATTTTAAATATATATCACTTTGGTTTTCTCGATGTTGATCTTCAACCCTTGTTCTGTTGTAGCTCTGTTCAGAATGTTCAGCATTTCATGCAGCTCTTTTGTGCTAAAATAGCTAAAGGTCAGTGGTCTGCAAATCTATTAGCTTCAGCACGGCTGCATAGCCAGAATCCTCTATCCTCAACTTTATGCCATTCAGGCTTCAATCCACCTAATAGTTCCCATTTCACTCCCATTAGGGTTACATTTCTGAATGTAACTTTGTCAGACCAATAGAATTAAATCGGTCTTATTAGGAAATGCACTCTTCTCTCTCTCCGCATACACAGGACTGTATGTGAGGTTGTCATTCATCGTCCTTGGGCTCCACTGGGTGTGAGTTGCCCACTCCTCCCCGGTGATGGTGTGGTCTCACCAGCCTCCCTGGGTGGACAGAGGAGCAACAAGACCCCCCCCCCCGCCAACCACAGCTGACCATCCACGTTCACCACTCGTGAGTGTGCCACAAGCCTGAGGTTAAGGAGGTAGTCCGGGGCTCCAAGCCATCTGTACCCTAAAGTAGTGCAGCTACAATTCTGCAGCTTGTGACTGGCCCTAGCAGTGACAGGATCAACTCGTGTACGTGCACCGCATAATGAGTTCCCTTCCACCTTTCTTAATCTTTCAAATTTATTTTTTCTAAAAAGCATTTTATGAGCATATTCAAAGTCTCTGTAGATCAACACAGCTCAGAGATTTGAGTCTAATCTCAAGTGAAAAACCAACACACGCTGGTTTAGTTAGGAATGGGCAGGCAGGGTAGATATGTTGGCAAAAGACTACGGTTACGTACAATCAGAGGTAGGTTCCAATGGAGTTGTGAAATCAGAAAATACAATGCTACATAAGGGATAAAGAGCCCTTCACTGTTTTACAATAACGTTCCCCGTATAGCCTTTCAGACTTTGGGGCAAGTGCTGGTAATGCATACTTAGGGCACAGTACACAAGGGGGGTGGAGGCCAGCACCACGCCCAGCAGTCGTTTCCCCAGTGCTGACGTTTAAACAGCACACCATGTACTCATTTAAGGACGAGTCGACCTAGGGGAGGCCCAGGACCAATTCAAATATTGACCACTGTTATTGGTCATAAGTGGGAATGGAACTCGGGGTTGCCGGGTCTGTAGCGCAGCACAATAGCCACTACACTACCGCTCCCCCAAATGAGTCGTAAAATCAAAGCCGACTCAATCTTAAAACACTATTTCACTTGAATATTTTTTTATATTTTACTTTGTTTCCCTTGTTCTTTTTCTGGAAGAACTGTTGAGGTGGTGGTGGTGGGGCTCAAAGTGTGCAATTCACAATCAGATGGTTGCGAGCTCAAATCCCCTCTGATGGTTTTACTTTTCCCCTTCACTCTGTGCTCGTGAATCCTTTCCAATCTGTAAAAACGTAAACTGCTTTTCAGACAGACTAATGGGAAAATTCCACTTCTGGCCCAGTGCCAACAATAGAGGTGACAGCACTGTCAAACGCTTATTTAGATTGAATACGCATTTCGTAGATTAAGAACTCATTTCCTTATAACTGCTTTTTGTGTTTAGTTTGTTGTCCTTCCTCCCCGCACCTCCGATTCGCACGGCTGGCTACGTATGGTGCAAAACAAGTTCAACATACAACTTACATTTATGAAACATGGACACCAAGTTTTTTTTTATTGAAACCATATATATGTGGATTTTGTTATAACCGACATTACCTTGTCGTCAAGGAACCAAGGCAATAGATAAGATTTTGTACCTTGGTAAAAACGTGTTTCTCTGGTCCATGCCACTACTCAATCTCAACTATCAATTCCCATTAGGGCCACGGAACGTGATGCAGAGTTGTTGGGGTGGGCACTGTCTCTCACTGCTGCTACCTTCGTAATCAGAATCATTACTTACACTGGAGGAATCCGATGAGGTATGAGGCTTTTTTGTCAACTTACTTCCCCCACCCACTATCTATGAGCCTCGTTGTTTCGTCTGCATCTTGGAGAGCTGCAGAGAGTTTTAGGCACACCTAGAATATTTAACTATATTTAGAGCATTATTCAAACTTGTGAACGCAGAGCCTCAGGTCGTGATGCTATTTATGGAAAAAGCGCTGAAAGAATATACCAAACTGCTTTGACAAGCATTTCCTCAATAGACCTCTGACCACAGGAGTGTTTCCCCCATGCGGTGTAAAATAGGCTTAATGTGTTACAGTTTATGCATTTGAAATCTCTATTATACTGATGTTAATTATCACTACATGTGCTCATTCATGCCGTGCAGGACATTATTATTCTGCTGCTCTGTATAATTCAATATAATTATCAATGTACCTCCCCACCGCAAAGTTAATCCAAAATAAAAAAAAAACAATCATGATGGGCTTGTTAAGTCATGAGTGACCGGGGCTCAGACCATCAACTTGCTAACACTTGAGAGCCCGGTTTAATCACAGGTTCTTGCCCAGATTCAAACCCAGGACTCCCAAAGGTGTTGGTTTAGTGCTCAGACAAGGGCATCAAGATTCACCCAAGTCACGCGGCGACCTCTTTGAATTAGGGATTTTATTCCAGCATCACACGCATGCACTTTTTTTGTCACAAACATAAAATATTTCCTGACCACAATCTGTAAACACATTCCTCAGCATAAAAAAAAAAATCACTACTGGGATGATGTTTTTTTCTGTATCTTCAAATCCTTTCACTTAAAAGTTACTAAAAAGACAGAGTTAACAATGTAGCACATGTTTATTTTGTAAAACGGGTGTCATGTACAGTTATGTACAACAGCAAGGTCAGACATAACCTACAAAGCAGACCCGAATGGGCGCAATGTTGAAACGCCAAATCCTCAGTCAGCTGCCAGAGCCTCCGCAAGTTTAACTTTTTTTTTACAAAACTCCTTTAAAATGTTTTAAAAGGACTAAAAAACTAAGCAGGTGTCATGCTGCTTCAAAGAAAAGCTACTTTTGTCAGTCAATTGCTTGTTTTGTAGAACGATGAAATGCATAACGGAAAGTCGCCAATTATTTCATTGCCTCTTGCTTTTGTTATATTAAGTGGCGAGTTGGCCGGTGAGCATTCTTTATCCGGATTGGTGGAGCATGCAGGGTACACAGAGGAGGAGTCTTTTTGAGGCTTATACACAAGAGCAATTATTCTTGGTCTTCTTTTTCATAAGGCTGATTGATGTAAAGCAACAAGTGGAATTTTACAGAGGCGGTTGAGAGCCAGATGATTGTGTCAGGAGTAGCAGAGTGGTATCGCTGCGATGATGCCACCTTCGCACGAGTGAATCTGGCATGGAGTCGTTTTACGTTCCAGTCTGTTCTGGGTGTATGCTTGGTGTATGGCAGCGGCGAATCTCACCTACTTAAACGACGAACGTGCCACCACTTCCCTATTTTAAGCGACGACGACGACAACAGCATGGCAATAGGTCTAAATTGCAGCCAGCAGTAACATGCGCATGAAGCACACGGTAAGGATTAAAATTCCTCACAGCTGAATGCGTGTTGCTCATTGATATTAACTGAATCGTGAAATGCTTTTATGGGGAATGGATACCCAAAAACGGTGCGTTGAGATCTCAGTGAACAGAAATTTAGAGCGTGTGGATTTCCACTGAATGAGGAAGCTGTAAGGAATTTGATCAATACCATTCATACATTTACAGGCGTGTCTTGCTTAATGAGCGTTTTTTACGAGAATTTCAGCAATTTGAATTTGACCCAATTTGTTAGAAAAACGAGCCAATGTTTGCATGTTAGCGTAACAAGCAGAGACCGATTTATCAAATGCGTCCAGTGGTGGCAGGGAGGGAAACCACGGCCCGCAGCTATTTGCTTAGCAGCCGTGCTGGGTGAACCATGTAATTTAGGTGGGTGCAGGAGAGGGGTAGGGTGGCAGGTGTGGGCCTCGTGATGGCACTGTACCATATGGGTGGGTGGCGGGATGGGTGGCTGTGGGGAGCGATGGCGAAACGGTAAGCGCACAGCGCTACGAACCCATCGGCCCGAGTTCGATTCTCACTTATGGCCAATACCAGTAACGATTATCTGAACCGGTCCTGGGCCTCCCCTAGGACGACTCGGACTCAAATGAGTACCTGGTGGAGTGTGTAAACATCGCCAAGAATGAGAAAAAAGCCAGCCAGGTGTGGTGCTGGCCACCCACCCCCCTGTCAGCCCTGCAGTGCCGGCCTTCAAAAGGTGCTCACTAACAGCACTTGACCCACCAGTCTGTTAAGGCTATACAGGGGATCTTTGTCTTGGGGGGAGGTATGTGTGCATGCATGAGAGACAGAGAGCGTGAGAGGGCTGTGTGACTGAGTGGAGAGAGTGTGCGCAAGAGTGTTGATTTCAAATGTGGCTGGAACGAGGTGATATCATATGCTATATACGGGGGATCTTGCATTGTGGTTCCTCACGTGTGGCAAGTGTTAAATTTGATATTCATTACTTTATTTTAAAACTTTACAGTAATTTGTATTTCTCATGTGAGAAAAAGTTGTTCAAGAGAGGAAGATTTTGGGGGCTGTTATGTAACTCTTGCTTTTAATATGGGAGTAGTCGATGAGCAAAACGACGACCGTTCACTTTAACCGAGCAATTTCCGCGGAACGTATATCTCGCTCGTTAAGCGAGACAAGCCTGTAGTACTACTGGCTCCCAATTTAGTGAAACGAGTAATGGGATGTTTCAGTTTTCCAGCATGCCATTTTAAGCTTGTTATTACACGTGATATAAAACACAGGAAAGCGAGCGGTACGTGTGTTGTAGTCCTCACAAATTAAAACAGGGCAGTAAAACTAAATTAAAACAGCACAGTGTTATCTTAACAATTATCTTTTTGTAACAAATAACACTAATAATTTATTTCCTTACCCTACAAACACCTTATTAAGACACGAAACTTATGAAGTTCCTACTTGGGATGTTTGGTTAATTCCTTTGAACGTATTTTCCCCCCCTTTTGGGAATACACCTGAGTAACAGAAGAACAAAAAACAACCCATAACATGCACTCAAAAATACGTCCATACTGGTCGCCAACCTCCTCGGCTGTACTGCCTATCACAGGCACTTTTGCTGCCCCCGAAGGTGGCGTTTCATGCACTTCATCTCAGCATGATCCCCCACCAGCCCTGTCTCTAAAGTCACTGGAAAAGACACAAGCCACCGCGCCATTTTAACAGCGTTCAGTCAATATTATCTTCACTTCACAGTTTTTTTTGGATCAGAAGGAAATAACCTTGGGTCGGGTTTTAATCCCAATGGCTGCCCATCATTTAAACAACAAAGTCACTTGCCCTCACTTTGCTGTCCCATAAGCACTGCAGAACAGAGTTAATAAACCCCATCTCAGCCTCCACATCTGAATGCAAAATTCCATTTGCTTCATGGACTCAAAATATTTCACTGAACTGCCCAGCAATTTCCATTGATAATTTCCCAAACCGCACAGTGTAGAGTAAAGCAGACATTAATATCATATCTACAAAGTAAGCCACAAAGTGCTTGAATCCCCATGCTTAAACCAGCAGTGGACAACGTTCTTAACTGTGGCATCCACATTCGTAGAATGAAAACTGACTCAATGACAACCGCTGTAGACTTCATTAAAATAATCAGTGCAGCCTCACAAGGTGTCCATTTTACTGACTGCAGAGGAAGGAAGCAGGAGGCAACAGAGGGAGTGAAGAGAGGAATGGAGAGTGGGAAATAAAATTGAAGAGAGGACATTTAAAAGGATGAGGGAGAGAAAGCGATGCAGATGGGGGAAAAATAAAAAATCAATCAATAAGAGTGAAGGGGAGGAGGAGAGCTGATGGAGCCAGTGGATCCAGGCTGAGATTTTCTCACCATCTCATGACGAAGATTCCTGAAGCTCTACAAAGAGCTGTATATCTCAGCCATACATCAGTAAATAACCCACACACTGATTGTAAATAACAATACACTAAAGACATTTTGAGGCAGGGAATTCTTGTCCACTTACTCCCAGCTGGCCCTCTCAATCCAAGCGCCGTACGCTTCACTGATGCCTCAGCCTAAATGCAACGAGCCGCCCCCCAACCACCCACCCCAACCCTCAATGGCACGGTCGCGCGCTGTTACCTGGAGGGCCCGCTGCATCATCTCCGACTGTCGCCCCCCCGGCAACCGCCCCTCCTCCACCGATGGCCGCCCCCTCGGGCGACACAGCGGTCCCAGACGTGGCATTGCCAGCCGGCCCGCGGGAGGAGGGATCCACGCGGCCGCTGGTTGCCGCCATCGCCGCCGACCCGGGAGAGTGGCGTCGACGCGTGAACCGCGGCGGTCGATCCTGCCACCGCTGCCACGACGCCGCGTGGCCATGCGGGTGGCCCAGGGCCTGGTGGCGCCTGGGTGGGCCCTCGGTGCCACCACGCCGTGATGGGGGACCACCGGTGCCGCCGCCACCCCCACCACCGCCGCCGCCGCCGCCACCTCCTCCTCCTCCTCCTCGAGTGAAACGCCGTTCTGGCTTTGGCTGCCACTGAGCGAAAATAGACATGAAACATTATTTGGGTCTTTCGGTAAAGTCACGTAGATAGGTTCAAAAAAAATAACAAAAAACTACGACATTTCAATCGCAACACAAGCGTTCGTTGTTATTTTCTTTGAACCTATCTACGTGACTTTACCGAAAGACCCAAAGAACATGAATTCCTGCAGTCACGAAAGCTTTAAGTCAAGACATGAAACAGTTTAGAGAAATTGCCGTTCATAACGGTTATGGACTTAATTTAAAGACAGAAAAATCATAAAATTGTGATTTTTTTTTAGTCACACTTTCAAACTCATGATGGGGACAGCTAGTGTTAACAGAGCAAATGCATTAAAGGTTTCAACCTTAATTTGAAAGTGCTCAAAATGGCTGATCTAATTGGAGACTGGCACCCAACATAATAATAAGTTATGGTTAACGGTTAATTTTACATAGCATCGCTCATATAAATTGCATCTCATAATGCTGAGAAAACCCAGACACGCTGGAAGGCAGCCAGGCTGTGAGAGCTGGTGCCAACAATTGCCCAAGCAATATAGTCCTCTGGATATTAAATGTTTTTAGACAGTTAAACAGTGCTCATGCAGGTGGGAGGAAACAGGAGCACCTGGAGAAAACCAGTACGATTGAGCGGGCAACATTATTCCATACAGAAATGACAAATGGAGATAGTCCGAATTTTGCTGTATCCCCTCCATCTGGCGAGCCAGGGAATGGCTCCGTCTCGACGCCCTCAGAGTAGCGTGACATTTGTGCAATGCACTAACACCTGCCCCCACGGTGCTGGCATGCACGCGCACGTGACCCACCAACACCACAGTGACGTGACAATTCCAAATCACTACGAGAGCAAAGACACAAGACTTGTTTATAACCCTCTAATACGTTCATACCGTTGCAAACTTGCCGGCATGAACGCCCGTGAGCCGTGCCAAACGTTACCTGCGACTTGTCTGCGGGTTTGTCAGCGCCTCCAGGCTCAGCAGGGCCACCCCCCTCGCCCACCTCCCCGGCCCTCGAACCCCCGTGCGACCGGGGGGCCGCGCCGTTCCGCCCGCGCCCCAGGTACGCAGCGCCTCGTCCGCGGCGAGACGGTTGCCCGCGCGCCGAGAACACGGCGCCTCCCCTCTCCGCGCGTTCTCCCCCTGCCGCGCTGCCCCTCTCCCCCGGGCCGGAGCCGCCCGCTCCCCCGGAGCCAGCGAAGTTGTCGCGTCGGCGGTCGGGCGCTGGAGGCCGGTCATCTCGCTCGTAGTCATGCTGCTTGTCAGTGTCACCCCGTCTGATGTCGGTGTTTTCCGACCGGTGATCTCTGTGGCCAGACCTTAAATGGGGCCATTTAAATAGACAACACGCGCAACAATTATCCTCTGTTTAGTGTTGCAGGACACAGGAGTACGTTCCAAAGCACTCTAAATTTAAAACTCATTCCTTTAGAACTACTTTGTGCAGTTAGTTTGTTGTCCTTCTCCCCACACCTCTGAGTAGCATGGTTGGCTAAGTACGGTGCGAAAGAAGTTCAACATAATACATACATAGCGACGATGGTGGGTTTTCACACCAATCAAAGGGCTGCCCAGTAAAAATTTGCATGATAATGTAAGATCGTCGAGCGACCTCCACGGCGGGCGCCCTGAGGTGGCTATGTTAATTTGAGAGATTAGCATGTTAATGGAAGATCGCAAAGCAAAAACCACGAGGTCGGCGAGCGAGGTGGCTGTGTTAGGGCGAGAAATTTTACCTATTAATGTGAGAAAAACCCACCACCGCCGCGGTCGCTGCCCACCACTTACATTAACATTGGCTGGTTACATTGGGCTACGCCCATTTCAAACCTTTATAAACAGTTTACCTTTAGAAGCTAACCCCCTCTTCCTGATGACGAACGCTTGTGTTGCGATCGAAACGTCGTAGTTGTTATTTTCTTTGAACCTATATACGTGACTTTACGGAAAGACCCAAAGAATATTAATTCCTGCAGTCAAGAAAGCTTTAAGTCAGGATAGTCTAATTTGCAAGAGTGGCATTGGACTGCCAGTAGCAGGCAATGATTGCGATGAAGAATAAGGATTGAGCAATTTGCTTCGGATAATTGATACTGATCCGACACATGACTTGCAATCGAATCTAGGGACTACGGCACAATGTGTTAGCCAATGAACCACTGCTCCACTCTCAAAACACAGAACTAGCCTGAAAAATCTTCTTGGTTCTTTCGGTAAAGTCACGTAGAAGGGAAGTAATAAAATAATAAAAATAAAACACAAAATAATTCTCATGTTTTATTTTTATTATTTTATTACTTTCCTTCTACGTGACTTTACCGAAAGAACCAAGAAGATGAATCCCTGCAGTCACGAAAGCTTTAAATCGAAATTTAGCCTGAAGAATGTTACGAACTGTGATGCGAGCATCTAGCAACCAGCAAGAGACGTGGCTATATATTAACCATAAGCTCCAACCCACCTGGCTCCTGGGGCTGCACGGTGGCCCCTGGATTCACCCACCCTCCCCGAGCCCACGTCCCTGCGAGGATGAGGCCTCCCGTCAGGCCGATTAGCCCCACCACCGCCACCTCCACTGCTACCACCGGCACCACCACTGGGCGCAGCAGGCGCAGTAGCGGGCACGGGGGCCGGGCCCTCGCTGGCATCCGTGCTCGCGCGGTCGTTGTCCTCGTCGTCCTCGTTGTTGTTGTCGCTCTCGGGTTCGCTCTCCGAGCCACGCTGCCGTCTCCGTCGGATCGTCTGGTCCTCGTACTCGGAGCCCTCACTCCGTGCCGGTGAGCTCGCCTGCTGTGCTGCCCGAGCCTTGGGCTGCTGGTACTGCTGCTGTTGCTGCTGCACTTGATGCTGATTCGGGAATTTCGCCTGAAACTCACGTTGCCGACCACGGCCGCCTCTGTACGCAGGCGTTGGTCGAACCCCACGAGCGCTGGCACCACCACCACCACCACGACCTCGGCCAGAGTATTCCCGGCCAGAGACTGTGCTAGGCACGGCATTCCCGTCCGCGCTGCCACTGCTAGATGTGCCCCCGCCAGTTGTGCCAATAGGCGCCATGAACGCTCGGGGTCCGGACCCCCGGCCCCGCGGCCATGTCCCATCCCGTCGTCGTTGGTTTTGCGGAAAGCCATGGCTGTCGTTATTGGGGAAGACATCCCTCTGCCGGCTTGAGTCCTTGGACTGCTGGCTGCCACGTGGACCGGGTGCCGGGGGTGCAATCGGCTCCTGCCCCTTGACCGAACCCTGAGATCCGTCACCCTTGGCCTTGTCGCTTGTTCCGGCGTCGGCGGCCTTGGCGTCGTCCCTCTCGCCCCGGCTGCGCGAGCCACCTTTGCTCTGGGATGCTTGCCTAGTGTTTTGCGTTGGTTCCTGCTGCTGATGCGAGGACTGTTGCTGCTGCTGCCGGCTGCCACCTGCTGCCCTACCGTCATCAGTTTCGTCGCTCTTTTCCCCGACCTTCATGTCACGCAAAACCGGCTTCCTCCCACCGGTGCTGGCCTGGGAGCCTGCACTGCTGCGCCGTCCGCTGCCTGGCTTTGGCCCCCACCGCGTTTCTGTGCGTGCCTCGCGGCGACCAGAGAACGACATGGGTGGTGCGGTGTTCCGCTGCTGTTGCTGCTGCTGCTGCTGCTGCGGAGGCACACTGCCACCTTGAGACGACGAGGCTGAAACCACCGACGATGAAGACGAATGGGGTCTTTCCCGGGCTGGGGCTGCCACCTCGCCACTGCTGGTGTAAGGGGCGGCGGCGGGGAGAGGGGCGCCGCTGGGCGTTGTCACCGGCTGTTGGGAGCCTGGCGCCGAGGATACCGGGTGCGGCTTGGACGTCCCCTGGTAAGGAACGGGCGGAGCAGACGTGGGCAAGAACACGGGACTGGTGGCAGGTGACGGGGCTGGGTGGCGTGCAGTCACACCGCTCGCTGGGGATGGAAGAGCGCTCACTGGCTGTGCCTGGCCATTTTCAAGTGACGTCGAACGTTGGGCTGGCGCGGGCACCTGGAATTCCTTCGGTCGTCGCTCCTGAAAGATGAGAGAACAACAACACCGTTGGTCAGGATAGGCACTTGACCATACAATGCTTATACTCAACCATAATCACCACACCTCTCACTCTCACCCATTAATACCGAAAAAACCCCACCTTTCGTCTCATTCTCTCTCGTATGCTCAATTACGATGCAGTAACTTGCTCGTATAATTACAGTGCACTCAACGCATCCTGATACACAACACCCGCTACTGCCACTGACAGAAAATCTAAATTCACTTGCAATGTACAATAGCTGGAAGGGGAAATGCACTGGTCAAAAATCAAATCCCATGTGAGAATTTAGCTCAGCCCTTCATATTTTTTAGGGTCAATGCAAAAAGAGAGTTTGAACAGTAAAAATTTTTTTTTATGGCGACAATCCCCGTCAAGGGAACGTGCAATTTACACCAATTGCAGATTCTCTTGGAAGAGCCGGTTCGCTCAAGGAGGGCGGATCCCTTTCTGCTTGTTTCGGCATGGGAATATACAGTCTGTTCTCCTAATAATGCGTATTTTCACAAAGTGAATTGGATATAACAGTGATAAAAACACATTAGGTAACAGATTTTTCTATAAACGCGGATGCGAGATTGGATATAACGCAATAGAGTCAACAGAACTACGCTGCGCGAGTAGGAATAAGCGGTCGTACGGCTGTCTCGGCATAGCATGACACGAGACGGGATGATGCCGGATTCTTCTAGATGCTACTCACGCGCCTTGGTCTTTATTCAGCCAGCATATGCATTTCACGTGTTATCACAGACTGTGCTTTAGCCTATATTATAAACTAATTTTCATGCGATTTGTCCATAACAATGTTCTTCGGGAAAACAACTGCTGCGTTATAGGGAGAACAGATCGTACTTGGCTTTTTAGTGCCATCTATTCAATATCTTTACTCAGGAGGGTTCTGCCCAATGTGTGAGGACAATCTTTTTGAAAAAATAAATTGCCCTAACACCTGGAAACCGAACCCCCTCCCACGCTATCAGAAATGTACTTGTCAAAACGCTATTTGCTGCAACGCCCATAAAAAGGCACACCATCGCATACCATCCTGCTATGAGGGTACATCATGCACGTCAAGTTTCAGATTCCAATAAACACCACCAAAATATCTGGATTCAAGGCAAAAGCAATACAATTAAAATTTAATAAAAGGTTCCAAGCTTTCTTTTACAGACCGCCCCCTTTCTCTCTCCCTGTGTGCCATGTCCTTTGTTGGTGAACATGGCCTTCCATTTAGCTGTCCATGCTGATCAAGAACTGTGCATTGGATACACTCGTTTGCATCCATTTATTCAAATAGCATATGTTCTATAATGGACCATTTCAATATAACTCTACTGCATTTTTTTTCAGTGGCTCAAGGCGGGGTCAGATTACACTCAATGCGCACACGCATTTTCCCGCAGCAGTGCCAGCCTGCACACAGAATGCCAATGAGCTCAGCTAGGGTGTGATCAGCCCACTCTTAATTTAATGCACTAATAGCAAAAATGCCACCTGCTACATACAGCAATGTCCAATGTAAATGTCGGTCTCTAGTGGAAGGTAATACATGAAAACAATGGGTACATTTTTCCCCAGCAAGCTTAATCCTTTTCCCAATTACAAAGACATGTGCAGACTTAACTATGAAACCATTAATTCAATTTACAACAATGGCATGTAACAAAATGGGAACATTTTCATGTGAAAAATGTTACTGTGGCTTTTTCAAATTCACCATTTCACTGTTCAGATGACGATGATTAAAACGCTGATCAAATTCACTAATCACTTAGGTTTCAATGCCAAGTCAACCTTCAAATAAATGTGGATAAGAAAGATCCCCTGTGCAACCTTTAACAGACTGTAGGGGCAAGTGCTTTTAGCGAGCACCTATTAAGGGTGGTACAGTACACGATGTGGTGGGTGGCCAACACCACGCCCATCTGCCTTGGTCTCCCCAGTGCGGATATTTTACACACTGCACCCGGTACTCATTTTTAAGGCTCAGTCAACCTGGCAGAGGTCCCAGGACCAGTTCAGATATTTGCCACTTATTGGTTGCATACAGTTTCTGTCAGTGCTATTCCATTATGTAACATACGTAACAAAATTAAATATCCTATTCATGCTCTTGCAATAAAACCACCGGCTGTAAAATGCACATACCTCGTTTCAATCAACAGTTAAAAATGAATAAAGAACAGTATCAGACCACGGTTCATTTGTAAACAAGTTTAGAATTACAGTTGGAAAGTGGTGTGTTGACTTGACGTTCAGCTTGGTACCCAGTGCAGTGTTAACTTACAAAGGTCAAATTGTTTTAGTTTCTCCTTTAGAGATGACGCACGCAATATCAGCCAGCGAGCAAAGCCAATGCCCAATGGCAAATCAATAAACAGGCGCATGGGAGTGGCACAGTTGGCCAGACGGGCAGGCCGCAATGAGCATGCATTTTTTTTCCATGATTTGAAGCTGCAATCTGCACACGTGCGCCTGCAGGTGTGATGCGGCACACGCTATGAAGTTCTGCTGTGCTTGGCACAAACCCTGTATTTAAGGGGCGAGATGAGCAGAGGAGGATAGCATCAGCTCAAGAGCCGGCATCAGACTGCAGCAACCTCCTCCAGCACAGCCATCATGAGCTACGCAGGCTCAAGCATCAGCAGCTCCTCCCGACGAACATACGGGGACGCGCCTCACTCCAGCAGACGGCTCCAGAGCATCTTCTCTGGTGGACTCCGATCGTACTCGTCAACCAGACTCGGAGGCGAGCGCTCGGGCTACGGCAGCCTCGTGCATGGCTACAGCATGCCTGCTCTCAACTACACAGACAGCCTTGACCAGATCCGCCCCAGCGGGCTCACAGGAGACGCCATGCAGCAAGCTCGAGTCAACGAGAAGCATCTCCTGCAGGATCTCAACGAGCGCTTCTCGGGCTACATTGCCAAGGTGCATGACCTCGAGCAGAACAACAAAGACCTGGACGATGAGATCTCAGCACTCAAACAGAGGCAGTCGGGCACCACCCGCAGCGGGATCAACGATGTCTACGAGTGTGAAATCAAAGAGCTCCGAGAGCTCATTGAACACATTCATGGAGAAAAGACGTCCATGCAGATAGAGCAGGAGCGTCTGGAGGAAGAGATCAAGAAGCTCGAAGAGAAATGCGGTCAAGAAGTTCGTCTACGCAGTGAAGCTGACGAGCTCTTTAAGATGTTCAGCAAGAACACAGACAACGCCTCTCTGGTGCGAATGAGCAACGAGAAGCAGATACAGGCTCTGTTCGATGAAATCGCTTTCCTCAAAAAGAACCATGAGGAGGAAATGGACCAACTTATGGAGCAGATCAAATCCTCCTCCGTCTCGGTGGAGAAGGTAGACTACGAAGAGCCAGGCATCGCGGCAGCCCTGCGTGAAATCCGCGGCAAGTTTCAGCTCAAAGGGCAGGTTGAGGGGGCGGCAGAGGAGCGCTTCCAGTCCAAGTTCAAGGAGCTCACGAAGGCAGCGGAGCAGAACGAGGAGGCCCTGCGATCGACCAAGGAGGAGCTCTCGATTTATCGTCACAAGCTCAATGAGCGAAGCACGGAGCTGGAAGCGCTGCTGGGAACCAGGGATTCACTCGAGAGGCAACTGAACGAGATGGAGGAGAGGCACCAGATCGACGTGGGCAACTTGCAGGTAACTATAGCCCTCCCTCAACCAGCACTGGTTTGTGCCTAATTTGTGAAAGACATGACATTCAAATACCCCTTCAATGTCCGTTGAAAATAGTCAGGTGACGCTGTGGCCAAAACACACAACTAACAAATTTAAATCGCGGGTCAACAGAGCCCATAGTGAGAAATCGAGAAGAGGTTTAATTTCGTTAGCCTGGTTCCCATAATATAAAGAGTGGAATTTGACACGTGGTTCAGCACTGCTGACAAAGGAATGCTGCCCCCATGCCCCGTAGATCTGAGGAACATTTCGTATGAATCAGTTCCCTTGCTCAAGAGCCATTTTGGTCTCAATGCCAATGGGGTGATTTCAAACAAATGCCTTTAGAGAAGTGGTTCCGGGCCACATTAACCTAAACAGTGGAGCTCACACGGTGGTGCCCATTCCTCCCACACACACCTACAGGACGTGATGGAACAGCTACAGGGGGAGCTGCGCGACTCCAAGTGGGCGGTGGCGCGTCGCCTGCGCGAGTACCAGGACCTGCTCAACGTGAAGATGGCGCTCGACATCGAGATCTCTGCCTACAGGTGAGGGATGTGCCCACCTATCCAGTGCTCACCATCTGTGTACATGCAGTCTATCAATAATTCCCGTATGCACGGCAAAGTTACACTACGATTAGTGCGCGCTGCCACTCCCAGGTCTGCTAAACAACTCGGCGCTTGATTGCTCCAGTCTACAGTGTTTGATATATGGAGTAACCCAAGTGGCCACTCCCATAAGAAATTGACATTTCAACCACTAGCTCTGGGCTTGTCAATGAAGACCAGTGCGATCTGGAAACTTTAAACCTGAATAGAAGTATTAATTGGAAACCGGGCTCACAACAATAACTTGCTACAAAATGTGATATCACACGACTCCCTGGATTCTAATTTAGGGTGTTAAAATTCCAGATAACGTTCACATGCAAACGTCGGCTTCCTAAGCCAACCAGTCACCTCCTAAGATCATTGGTTTAATTGCATTATGGTGTGTTTTTCCTGCAGGAGACTTCTGGATGGAGAAGACTCACACTTTAGCAGCAGCAGCCTGAGCTTGGACTCAGCGAGGTCCATTTACACCCACACACCCAAGGCCAAGTCCCAGGAGGAGCCGCCTAGCAAGGAGAAAGACGCTAAAGATGAAGCAGAGGAAACCGAAGAGGACGCCCGAGCTGATGGCAAAGAATCTGAAATAGACAAAGCTGCAGCCGAGGAGAAATATACAGCAGCATCCAAGACAGTGGACATTGTAGTTGAAGGTCCTGATAGAGTCGAGGCTGAGGAAAAGG